TTTCAAACAGAGCTGGGAATTGAACCAATGACCTTATGCATACTCTACTACTGGGCTACATAACCAGTCCCTAAAGGTAAAAGCAGCAGATTTTGCTGATAGATTGATTGTGGGGATGAGAGGACAGAAATCATGGGTAGCATCAAATTTGGGCTTTTGGAGTTGCTGTTTATCGTAATCAGTATCATAGAAGTAGGAGCAAGTTTTGGACCTGGCTGACTTTCAAAGACCTACTACATGTCCAGATAGAGTACGTAATTAAGGATAAGTCTGGAGTGTAGGATAAAGATTTGGATTGTAGATGTGGAATTTGCTATAAAGAAAAAAATTCTGAAAAGACTTCATTTTTTTAAAGGAGAATCTAGTTGCAAGATTAAAAATTGTAAAATCTGTCAATCGTCTTGATTTTACACTGAAGGATATAGAGAGCCAACTAATTTGAAAATCACTTTACTGTTCTATTATCCAGTCAATCTCAAATCAAGAGAAATTGTCTCAGGTAATCCCAGAGAAACATTTACCAGAAGTTATGCTTGATCATTTCAATTTAACATCCTACTCATAGAATTAATTTTTATTCAGCAGATGAATGTGAGTATGCTATTGATTGAGAGATTCCAAGTTTGTGAAGTCTGATTTTTTTTTTTAACCTACTGTTGGTTATAAATAAGATAGCTATTCAGATTTTTGTTAAAATTATGCTCAGGCATGATTACTGGCAGGAATACTAACTCTTCTCTCAAAACTCTATTTGATTCTTCCCCAAGCTATTTTTATAGTTCAGCTTGTTAACATCTTATAGTGAGTATGGTTCTCTATACATTTTATTTTATTATTTTATGCTGGTGCTGGGACTTGCACTTGCTTGCTAAGCAGGCACTATACCTCTCCAGTCATGCCCCCAGCCTTTTTTGCATTAGTTATTTTTCAGGTATGATCTCATGTTTTTGCCAGGGGCCAGCCTCAGACTGTGATTCTTCCACCTATGCTCTTTCACATAACTGGGATCACAGTTGCATGCCATCATGTCCAGTGCATTGGTTGAGATGGCTATTAGAACTTTTTGCCTGGGCTGGCCTGGAATCTTGATCCTCCATATGAGTAGCTAGGACTAAGTGTGAGTCACCACACTTAGCCTGTCTTTGTATTTTAATAAAAGCAGTAGATACTTAATTGGAGATGGAAGCATAAAAGCACTCTCTTTTTTCTTAGTTTTTTTAAGACAGGGTCTCACTGTAGGCCAAGTTGGCATCTAACTCCCTATGTAGTCCTGCCTGGCCTTAAAACTCTTGATCCTCCTGTGTCAGCATCCCCAGTGCTAGGATTACAGGTGTGTACCATGATGCCCAGCTTCAAAAGCCACTTTTAAGGGGTTGCAGAGTGGCTCAGGTGGTAGAGCACCTGCCTAGCAAGCATGATGTCCTGAGTTCAATCTCCAGTACCATCCTCCCTCCAAAAAACAAACAAACAAACAAAAACCCACCACTTTTTAAGTATCATTAGTTAAGATCCAGAATTACAAACAAAATTCCAAGTGGTGATTTGAAGTATATTCTTTTTGTTAGAAGTAAGAATTTGTTCCTTTAGAAAATACTACATTTTCCAATATACACTATCATCTGATAGTCTGTACCTTGTACAGATTGAATTTTTAAGGTGCCTACTACTTACCAGTGGTGTTTAGCAAGTCATTGTCAGAAACCAAATTCTTTATTTCCAAGTGCTTGGTTTCTTTTCACAGAAGTTTGTGTTCTTTCTCGTGCGCACGCAGTTTCCCTTTAGTCAGCATGCTTGTGTTCCCTGAAGGTATTCAGAGACTTAAATTGCTTTTGACCCCCAGATGCTCTGCTGTTAGAGGCTCGGTTTCCACATCTGTGAGAGTGGGAGCAGTAGTGTTTATCTTATGGGCCTTGAGAGTGTGGTGTAAAGCACATAGGGACTGTCTGATAAATGGCAGCTGCAGTTACCTGTATTGACAGAACCATACTGTGCTTTTCCGCTTTCAGTCTTGAGGAAGTTAGTCTAAAATTCATCTGTTTTAAAGACATTAGTTAGTAATATATTTTGATAGGATAGGCATTTCTGTTTATTGCCTGGAGTACATTTTTTTTTTATGTGTGTGTAACTGGTATTTGAACTCAGGGCCTCACACCTGCTAGGCATCACCTGCTAGGTGATGAAGTGATGAAGTACATTTTAAAAGAAAATACTGCATAATAGTAAAGCAATATTGCATTCTTTCTGCCTGTTTTATACTTTCAGCCCACTGTTGTTGTTTGTTCTCAAATTTACTCATGTTTTTTTTCTTGGCAACTTAGTGTCTAGTGAGTGTGAATTCATGTGTTTCTCTATTTTCTAGACTTCAGCATTTTTACAAACATAATAGAATTTATGCCTGAGTGTTAAGAATCCAATTAGATAGTAGTAATGAGTCTTACTTAGTATTAGCTGTTACTTGATCTTGCTGAGAGAATCAAGCTGAAAGTGAGTATCACTGATCATGTTGTAATTTACATACCTTTCACTTTATCATTTCAATTTCATTTTGCTTTATAATATGCTCTTGGATTTGTAGTGAATATCTTGTATTTTGACAGAAATGTGTCACATTACGAGAACCTAACAGAATGAAACTTGTTTTATTTACAATTTTTTTTTTTTTTTTGGCAGTACTGGGGTTTGAATTCAGGGTCTCATGCTTGCTAGGGGGTTCCACCAGCCCTGAAACTTGTTTTATTACTATATTAAAGTTTTGAATTTAAACAGAAGAGAAACCTAAACAAGGGGACTATTGGGATGCCTGTGTTTGTTTAGGGGACTTTTAGAAAGGCTTCCATTTAAAAGCATGAATCTCTTCTGCTGTAGCCAGCCTATGGAAACAGTTGAGTGTTGTAACCTGTAATCTCTATCTTAGACCATGTGGATTGTCACTTCTGTATAGATTTGCCTGAAACGAAAGTAATTCCAGCCACCTTAAAAAAAAAGAAAACCCTGCAAGTAAATCCTAATTCTCTTTAATGTCAGTATCAGCTATTATGATAATTCTTTATGTAAATTGTTTAGAGCTAAGGTCCAGGTTTCTGCTAACTTACTTGCTAGACATAAAACAGGCTTTATCATTGGTATTCGATTTTACTGGCTCGGAGTGACAAATTGATGATACATTTGTATAGGGGTTATGTTATTAGCACTTGAAACAGGTCTGCTAAGTGAAACATTCCCAACTGAAGGACAGACCTACTCGTAGTTGTAAAACATACATTTGTATATCTTCCCTAATAGCTCAGATTTTTTTTTTAATATATTATATACCCAGAAGAAAGTGAACCTTGGCAATTAACCAGGGTGAGGAATTGGGAAGGGCAGTTAAAGTGAGTGAATCATAGTAGTTTAATGGTTTAGCAAGTAGGGGAATGCTGCAGTTGTTCATGGACTAAAAATTCCATAGAATAATAGATTGAAGGTGGATGAGGACTAAACAGGATCAGCAACAATGAGCAGTTGGATGAGTGGGATATGATGGGTTGCAAATGGAAAGAAAACTTGATTTTAGAATCTGAAAAGTTAAGTATTTGACATGTGGGGTAGGTTGTAGAAAAGGCACCGACATATATTTGAAGTCTGAAGAATAATTACAAGGCATAATGAGTCAGGTGATAAAATCATCTGTACCTTTTAGGGAATATTCATGAAATCAGTCTGTAATCTTAAAAGAGAAAAAGTCATCATAGGTAGATTCTGCAATGTGAGAAGGGAAATATGTTTTAAATACCATAATTCAACAGTATTCTGCAAGTGACAGTAGAGACCAAGAAACATGGATTTTTCTTCCTTCACAGATTAGAAGACGTATTGTGAGTTTTCTTTGTGAGAAGTCATTAAGGCTTTTGTTATTTTAAGGAATAAGCCAGGTAAAGGACTTTATGAAGTAAAGGAAATTTTCTTAAATGAGTTCCTTCCATGTTGTATGGTGAAGAAAATAGGTAAGAGAACAGATATATTATTATGAGGCAAGATTGGCAGACTAAATCAGATTGTAAGATTGGGATGGGATGGTAAAATTTTTTCAAATAACCAGATTAAAGGAATTTTATTTTTGCTGTATTCCATATGTAGGCACCTACTGTGGCTAGATGTTCTTCTAGGAGATGAGTAAGATTGGGTCCTGTCCTTGATGAAATAACAAGGTGAACCTGACTGATACTGGTAATCAGATACTAGAGTACCTAGTAATAGTGCTACAAGCTGTGTGGATATGCAGTGCAGAGAAAAAGAGATGGGGCTGGAGTTCCTCTGTGGCAGTCAAGGCTTCACAAAGAGATACAGAACATCTTGAATTGAATCCCAGAGGATATGTAGGCTTTTCCCAGGCAAGGGAGGGCAGAAGGAGTGTTCCAGGCAAAGGCTTGTTCAGGTAACTCCAGTGCAGCACACCTCCAGGAGGGAGGTGTGCTTGGACCAGCAGACTTTGCTGTAAAGATCCATTGGAGGTCTGCCCTCATTAGGTTGTAGAGTCTTGACTTCTGAATTAAATAAGAATAACTTAGTGCAATCCTAATATCACATTTTTCTTTAAGAGTCACAATTTTATCAACGTGAAATCAAAGATAAAAAGACCCATAAATATCCTGCTTTCCATGGTACCTTGGGCTGAGGTTTGCTGCAATGGTTAAGATCTCTTGTGTGTTAGGAGGGCTCCTCATGCTTTTTTGTGTCAGTTCATGGTCTTGCTGATTTGTCTGTAACCTGTTCTCTATCTCTGACTCTAGGTCAGAGTGAGATGAACTGCTGTAGTGAGTATCTTGCAACCTTAGCCGAATGAACTCATCTTAGGATATGGCTGCCCTGTGTCCATAGTTGAGGACGGCTACTTTGAGTTCTTTACATGTTCTGACTTTTTGTGGCATTCGTGTTCATGAATGCCCATTAGCTATTCTCACTGAAGTTTCCATCATGTGTGATTTGGTGCATTTAGAATTCTTGGGCCACATTCCAGTAACATGCTACATTCAAAGAAGGTTTCTATTAAACTTTGTGATGAAAAGGTGAGGAAATAGCTATATGAATATAAAAGGCCATCTGGACAGAAATGGGAATCTATCCAGGAGTGTCATCTATGGTTGGTTTTCCCTTACTGGATGATCAGAATCTTTTCAAGCTGTAAATTTTGGATATTGCAATAATCTTACCAGCTCTAGCAGCTTGGGGGTTTGACTGCCTCTTAGAAGTGTGAGTAATGCCGATGGGTGTCATCTTTAACCATATCCAACAATGATCTTCTTAAATAAAAAACTTGCTATGTTGTCCACATTTGTGAACTGTCTAAGTGGGACAAAGATTTTAAATTTGTAAGTAAAAGCATTTTTAAATAAATAAAAATCTTGCTTTTTTTTTTTTTTTTAAGATCCGTAATCTGACTTCACAGTCACTTTTTTCATTATTGTTTTCCAGGCTTTGTCCATACACTCATATGTTTATAATTTTAGCTTAGAAATATTTGAGTGTTTTACTTCCTTTCCCTTTACTATATCTTCATTATTTTCCCAAATTCAGTTTTAATAATGACCATAGCTGTCAAATATTCTTTTTTTTTTTTTTTTGGTGGTACTAGGATTTGAACTCAAGGCTTCCTACTTGCAAAACAGGTGCTATACCACTTGAGCCACACCTACAGTCCATTTTGGGTCTGCTTATTTTGGAGATGGGGATCTCATGATCTATTTGCCTGGACTTGTCTTAATTATAGGTGTCAGTTAGTGCCTAACTAAGTATTCCGTTATTAAATGGATGTTCTTCCAAAAGTATAAAAGCATAAAAATGTTCCTTATAACACCATCAATGATGATGAAAAATTGGGAACATATTAAGTATGTAACGTTAATGGGATAGTTAAGAAATTATAGATGGGTCATCAAATTTCAAGGTAAAATTCGAATGCTTGACTGATAGTGGTTGCAGAAAGAGGGCACCAACTTCAGATCACTAAATGGAATTTTAACATTTACATTTCTCTGATAGATCTAAACAATATGAACATTTGTGTGTGCATGCTTAAAACCTTTTTAAACAGTACATAGTGAATACGTTAGAAAAGCAACAGGCTGGTTTTTAATGCATGACCACCAATTACATTGTAAATGATCATTTAAAAATTTGGATAGATACTATAATTTATCATCAGAATTTGGGAAGCTATTTTTGATATCTTTATATTTCATGACGGTTCATTCTAGCAGCAAATCGCCCGTCCCTCACAAGAAGAAAAAGTAGAAGAAAAAGAAGAAGATAAAGCAGAAAAAACAGAAAAAAAAGAAGACGAAAAGAAAGATGAAGAAGAAAAAGATGAGAAAGAGGACTCCAAGTGAGTTAAATAATTAAATAAGTGTTACAGGTTTTTTTTTTTTAAATAATGAAACAATCTACTGAAGGCATGAAATATTAGAGAAAATAATCAGTGGAATGTGTGTCTTGACCATTTATCTGTAGTTACTTGATCTGATTAAGCAATGGAATATTCTAGTCAATTAAGCTTTTGGTTTAATGGACTTATTTGCCAGACATAAATTACTACTTTCAGAAGGGATAGGCTACAGTAGTATGTACTTATCACCAAGGTGTATTGGATATTATTTAATCTTTGATTTGAAAGTTTCCTCAGACTCTTTGAGTATCCAGCTAGGGTAACATTAGATAGTATAAAAATCTGAGAAATTAATAATTTTCATTTTATATAACATACTCCATGTTTATTGACTTTATCATATAAAACAGAATTCCTGATTTGTTTTTGCTGTTCCTCGTTTTAAAGGTACTTTGGGGGCTGAGGAAGTGGCTCCAGAGGTAGTGTTGCTAGGCTCTGAGTTCAAATTCCAGTGCCACCACAAATAAAGTTCTTGTTCATTAGGAAAGAAATCAAAATATTAGGAAAATTTAACCTATCATTTTAAAACTCAGTGATAGCTACTGTTGCGTGTTTTTCTGGGGTGAGGGTGAGTTGTTTTATTACTCACCTCCCCCAGCCCAGGGATTAGCTTTACAATTTACATAGAATAAAATCCAGCAATTTTAGTTGTATACATTACTGTATTTGAACAAGTGTATGCACCTGTGTGTGACTGTTACCACAGTTGTGATGCCCAATGTTTGCATCACCCCAAAATGGCCCTATAGATTTTCTTGAAATCAGTTTCTTTGCTCCCATTCTCAGCCTATATTAGACACTTTTGCCTGCGCTAGAAGTATGTATAAATGGAGTCATACAGTACTGTCTTAGTCATCTTCTTTCATTATAAAAAATACCAGAGATACTCACCTTATATAGAGAAAAGGTTTCTTTTGGCTCACAATTTTGGCAGCTTCTGTCCATGGTTGGTTAGCTCTGTTGCTTTGGGCCTATAGAAAGGTGGAATCACATGATGAAGCCAGGCCCTTTATATCATGGCCATGAAGTAGAGAGGGAGAGACACCAGTGTACCAATGATCCCTCTCAAGAGCAGCCCCCGTGACTTGAAAACCTCCCACTAGGCTCCAATTCCCAAAGGCTTCACTACCTGCCAGAAGTGCCACCATAGGGACTAAAACTTTATTTAACACATGGACCTTTGGGGGATGTTGAAGATCCCAGCTGTAGTGAGTATTTATTCTGTGTGGCTTCTTTTACTTAACGGAAATGCCTTTGGGATTTACCTAGATCATTGCATGATCAGTAGTTTCTGCCTTTTTAGTATTTATTGTGTTATGTCTATAGTCTTCTTAGAAATTTACTTAAAGTTTACCTAGTTTTATGGCAACTAAAGCTACGTAAGTCACTTGACATGGCTTTAAGAGTCAGATATTCATGCTTTTCTAATTTTGTGTCTTAGGAAGATATCTGTAAAGGAATTTTAAAAATTTACTAGTTTAGGTCAAACATTTATTATACCACATAGGCAGTGGTTCTACTCTTATGGAACTGCCACCTATTTTTTTTTTATCCCCCCCTCCTTTTTTCTTGAAACTGCCATTTTACTTTTTTTTTTAAGCCTCTTAAATTATTTAACAACAATTCATTTATTATCTGTGGGAGTTTGATCTTGGAGATTGCAAAAATACATAAGATGTGTATTGTTTTAGGTAGTTTATGGCCTAGTAATAGAAAAGTAGGCAAGGCCCAACAATGTTCTTAAAAAAGAAAAAAGCAATTGGCTTGCTGGCTCACAACTGCAATCCCAACTACTTTGGAGGCAAAGATAGGAGGATCGTGGTTCAAAGGTAGCCCAGGAAAACAGTTAGACCCTATCTCCCTATGGAGTTGTACATAAGAGGATCACAGAAAGTGCAAGACACTATCTGAAAAATAATTATAGTACAAAGGGCTGAGGACATCATTCAAGTGACAGAAGTCTTGAGTTCAAATGCCAGTAGAGGAAGGAAGGGAGGAAGAAAGGGAATAAAGAAAATAGAAATGAGTAGAACCAGTGATGTGTGTTGGAAGATTGAGAAGTAAGTGGTCAAGGTTACTGCTGTGTAGATGGTTGGGAGGATTTTATATAACAGCTTGTGGTTAATATGCTAGAGTGAAGGGAACAGCATGGATTGGTATGCTGCATTAGAATTGGCAGGTAGGGTCAGAGGTGCAAGTCAGCAGTTAGGGCCACTTGCTGAGCATTCCTGAAGCCCTGGGTTCGATTCCTCCATCAAAAACCAAAATGAAAGAGCACTCTGTTCATTTCAGAGGCTATGACTTGTGACCCTGTAGACTGAATGAGCTTGTATAGGCAAGAATTCCTGGTTTATGTGACCTTTTGGGTCCCTTGCCTTTGAAATCTGGCTGGGCCAGTTGGTAAAGTCTAGAATTGGCAGGTAGTTATTTCCTTAGACTGCAACATAGTATACCTGAAGAAGAGAAGTGGAAGACAGATTGGGATTACAGTATATAGAACCTTAATGAAAGGTAAATGTTAGACTTCATTCAGGAGGCTGTGTAGGTCTGTTTGGGAATAGATAGGTAGGGAGGAGAATGTGTCTAGTGGAGTACTGCTGTCCTGCCAGTATTGACCCATTACCAATGTAAAATGAATAGATTAGAGATGTAAGAATCAGGGACCTGATTGGGATAACTGTGGTATTAAATAAGAACAACGGTAGCAGAAATAGACCTGGTGGAATTAATTACTGGGAGAAACACTAACAAAATCTTGGCATTAGATGCATGTAGAAAGTAAAAGAAAAGAAGAAAGCTACAGATGATGTTAGATTTGTAAACCTGAGTGATGGTGTACATGTGGGGCTGTTAAATGATTGGAGAATGAGGCAGAGGAAGAAGCAGAGTGACAAGAGTGAGCATGTTTTTAGATGCATTGAGTTTTTATTGATAGGAAATTCAGGTGGCTGTTCCAGCAGGCAGTAGAGAAGATAAGTCTGGATCTTCAGAGATAAAGTATGAGTCCAAAGATAGAATCAGAGCCATTCAAGTAGAATTGATGTGAATGGGTAACCTCACAGAGAGTCAAGACACTTGGGAAAGCCAGAGGAAATACCTCTATGAAAAGACAGAAGGAGAAAGGCACTCCCCAGAAGGAGAGCCAGAATAATAGGATATTTCAAAGATAAGCTGAAAAGGATATAAAAAGAAGCATTGTCCACAGTGTCAGTTGTAGCAGAAAGATTAATGAGGAAAGAGCTGAGAAAAGGTCATTGGAATTTTCAGTTTGTAAGTTATTAATGACTTCAAAACATCATTAACAGGAAGCTATAGAATAGAAACTGGTTGATAAGAGAGTAAAGAAGTGACGGGAAAGCGACAGCTTTAATTTAGGACTAAAGGGAAAAGAATCATTCTTAAAGCATTTACTTTTGGGAAAATGTATAACTTGATAAATCACAACAGGTATTTATTTTAATGTAGATAAAATAAGAAAATAATCAACATCTTCCATTAAGCAAGAAGTATCATATTCCTAAATGTAACAACCTTGAGAGATAAAGTAGTACAGAGAATGGTCTTCTAGTATTTCTTACGATAATGTTGCTGTTAATAGGAGCTAACATTTATTAAGTTTTTCCTAAGTGCCTGAGACCATAATAACCACTTTATAGCCTGAGAGAAGTTTAGCCTTAATAATAGCAAACATATATGATGTTTACTGTGTTCCAGGCATGATTCTAGGCACTTTATATTAATTAACTCCCTTAATCCTCACAACTGGTCTATGAAATAATCTATCACTGTCCTCATTTTACAGATGAGGGAACTGAGGCTCATGGAAGTGAGGCAGTTTAGCCAAGGTCATCACATCGATATTAAATCACAGAGCTTTGGTAACAATCTCAAGCACTCTGGCTCCAGAGGCCGTTCTCCTGATCATGAATCCATGCTACCTTATTTGCACATCATCAGTGTTGGAGGTGGTTCAGAATATTAAGACTGGTCTAATAAAATAGTATTGTGGATTGATATTACAGAATAGGCATCTATCATGAATATTTTCTGTTTCAACTTTTTCATTTCACAGATAAAACAACTTAGTGCCAAGGCAAAAACCCAGGCCCGCTTGCCTTTTGGTGTAGTCCACTGCCTATGGCGTCTTCTGTTTTCATTCATTATTTCCTCATGAATATTTGAAATGTGTTTAAACCATTGAAACATGATAAAGGCCTTGTGAAGTATCTTAATTTGACCCAGTCAGAGCTCTTCAAAATTACTTGAGATAATTTTTCATAATTTTTTAAGGTAACTAAGATCTTAAGTAGATTTATTTATTTTCTATATAAAGAATATATAAAACTGAAATCTTTGGTAAATGTATACTTTTAAATCACACAAGTTCTTATTTGCATTTGTTTCTAGAGACAATACCAAGGAAAAGGATAAGAATGAAGGTATAACAGAAGAAACTGAAGAGAGAGAGCAGGCCACGCCCCGGGGGCGAAAGACTGCCAACAGCCAAGGCCGCAGAAAGGGTCGAATAACCAGGTCCATGACAAACGAAGCTGCAGCTGCTAGTGCTGCGGCTGCAGCAGCCACTGAAGAGCCACCACCACCTCTGCCACCACCACCAGAACCCAGTGAGTGGAAGGGATTGGGATGAGCAGGGTATAATTTTGTTTGAGATTCTATTTCAGTGCTATGGTATGGCAGGCATGGCTAATACTGATAACCTAGATATAATCTTGATGCCTGGTAATGGGGATTGGAAATCAGGGCCTCATGCTCACTGAGCAGATGCTGTACCACTTGAGGCACACCCTCACCCTTTCTGCTTTATTTCCTCCTCATCCTCCATAGGGCCTGGCTTTTTGGCTGGGGCTGGCATTGGACTGAGATTCTTCTACCGGTGCCTCCCCTGCAGCTGGGATTACAGATGTGAGCCACCACCCAGGCGAAAAGTCTAGTTTTTAAGCTTTAAAGTCAAAGTCTTTTGAAAAACAACCTCAGGTATAATGTTGTTACCCTAAAACACTTGTTTTCCTTTTTTTGCTTAGGTATAGGCCTAGTGTGCATACCATTTTGTTTTCTGATGTCTTTGCTTAGTATATGTCATAAACATTTTCTAATTTCTAAGTAACTTTCATTTTTATTTTTTAAATGCCTGTACAGTGTTGACATTTTGTTTCTGAGGAAATATTTAACTATTTCCCTACTGTTGAATGATTACGCTCTCTTCTTCTACCTTTTAAACCAAAGTAAATGTAAAATAGTATTTATGCCCATAACATTTTCTTTCTGTTAAATTATTTTTCATAGAAATAAGTAGTAGGCCTAAGGATATAACTATGTTTCTCTCTTACAAAATATTATACTATTAGTCTATAAAATCATATGATAAAGTGCCACCACTGGTGGCTCAGTGGTACAAATTTTACCATAATATGAAGTAGGAAGAGTGTACACATTCCAGCAATGACAGGAATGATGTAGGTGAACCAAGTAGACAGAAGGATGAAAGATAGTCTGGCAGCAGATCATGACGGGCCTTGTTGAAGTATATCTTGCTTTGGTTACAAAGGAGGGAGCCTGCAATGTTTAAATGAAGAAGTGCTGTGGTTAGATTTATGTTTTAGAAAGATAACTCTGGTAGCAATTGTGGAGGTCATGTTGGACAGGCTAGGGGCTGGAGGCAGAGGGACCATCCAGAAGGACATTGTGTATGGGGAGGGGATGAATTCAAGACTTGAAAGTTGACAAAGAGAATTCCAAAATCAGTCAGAGGAGTTTGTTAATTCAAGTGACTGGGTGGATGTGGTACTTCAATAGAGAAAGAGATATGACATGAGTTCATTTCAGGCCTGATATTTTCAGATTTTTTTCTAATGCAAAAGAGTAAGTGTTCAGTGCATTATCCATCTGTGCCTATTGATTGTTGTCAGTCATTGAAGGATGAACAAAAGGAGTTAAGATGAGATGAGGGTTCAGAGGAGAGGAGACTGTGCCTGGCCAGGAAGGAAGAGCTTGTCTCTTCCTTTGACATCGAAGGAAAGGAAGGGTTGTGGTCTATAAAGCAGAAAGACAGTAGGTGAGATGGGACTTTCTCAAAATTATACTAATGGTGTTCAAATATACAAAGATGGAACATTTGGAAATACTCAGAAACATTTTGAAAAGATCATGACATGAACTTTTCTGCCTTGTTGGTGGGGGAGAGGCCGATACCATCCAATTTCCACAGTGTTTTTTACCAAATACTTTCAGTAGACTTTTACATCAGCTAAACATAGTTTGTCTGAATGAAGGATTTAACCTTTTCTCTGCCTGGCTAGATTTTCTTTTTTTATTTCAGTTTCTGCAGAGCCTGTGGAGACCTCTCGATGGACAGAAGAAGAAATGGAAGTTGCTAAAAAAGGTAAACTATAGTAGTTCAGACTTCTCAGGGTTTTTAAAGAGCAGTTAGTTATGAGTGAGGAATAGACTTTTTTTTAGCAGGACTGGGGTTTGAATTCAGGGCCTTATGCATTCTAGGCAGGCACTCTACCACTTGAACCACTCTTCCAGCCCCAGAACAAATTTTTTTGGTTATAAAAAAAAAAATGGTCTTCCACAAAGGTCAGTAGAATTTTTGGGGGAGAGGGTACTGGGGTTTAAACTCAGGACCTTGCACTTACTATGCAGGTGCTCACCTGAGCCATCCCCTTATTCCAGGTAAGAAGAATTTTGAAGCAAATTTAAGAGTTCTTTTTAATGGTGTAAGTACCCACAGAGTGCCAAAGAAGTCCATATTTGAGGGATTAAAGAGTTGAGAGTCTCTTCACAGTGTTTTGTTGTTGGTGGTGGTTTTTTTTTTTTTTTTGGATTATCATTAGAGAACAAGTAGCCATTTTCACTTTCCCATAATAGTTGTGATTTATATGTTATTGACATAATTTTAGAACAAATTTTGAATATGAAGTCTGCATTTCTTTTCATGTTACATGGAATAGAGTGGTGGCTTCTTTCTCAGTTTGCATTTGGTTAAGTCTTACTGTGTTTCAGAGCTGTGACCATGTCTTGTGGCCAAAGGTATGATTTCTGTGTCTGCTGCTTTCACGGCAATGTGGTTTTCACTGCGCTCCAGAGCTTTATGGACTTTGTGTTTGCCCACCTTTGCTTATTAGTATAGTTTGAAATTGAACTAAAATTTCAAATACGATAAACAATTGGTGGTTAATTTTAAGAAAGATTCATTCTTGGTTAAATATTTACCTTGAAGTTCTGAAGAGAAATGGTTATCTTTAGCTCGATCTTTTGGCTGTAGGTTTCAGATTTATTTTCTATTTAACATGTAATGAATCATACATCTCAGAATCATAATAAGACAACTTTGCCAGAAATAAAGCAGTTTAATAAAGTGTTGTTTTTAAAGCATTTTCTGGCAAATGCTAAATTTCTATAATTTTTAAGAAGGTTCACATACATTCTGATCCCACTGTCAAAATGTCATGATTGAATAAGTGGATACTACCTATATCATAAAATGATCTTTTTTTAGGCAGATGTTCCTATGTGTAATTGTTTATAACTCTTTTCTATTCATATACCTGGCAAAACTTGATAATGACCTTGTAATTTTCATTATTAAGGAAGCTACTTACATAACCGTGAAAAATTAATGCTTGCTATACATTGTTAAATTTGTATGAAGAATTAAAGACTGTATCTAAGATACGTCTTTGTACAGTTCTCTACATATATTTATATACACTTACATACTCATTCTTTGCATGTATATATGTGTGTTTGCATATTTGTATTGTTTGATCAGCGAAGTATAAGATTTTGTGATGCCTTATATTAAAACAGGATTTTAAAATTTAATGTAATTTAATTTTTTTTGCAGTACTGGGATTTAAACTCAGCGCTTCGTACTTGCTAGGCAGGCACTCTGTCACTTGAGCCATGTCTCCGGCCCTTTTGCTCAGATTATTTTTAAGATAGGGTCTCACTTTTGCCCAGGCAAGCCTGGACTATGCCCCTCCTATTTTACGCTTCCTGCAGTAGCCTGAAATGACAGGCACATGCCATTATGCCTGGCTCTTTCCTTTGAGATTCGGTCTCGTGAACTTCTTTGCATGGGCTGGCCTGGAACATGATCTTTTCAATCTCAGCCTCCTGCATAGCTGAGATGACAGGTGTGTTCTACCATACCTTGCTGTTGATTGAGATGGGGTCTCTCAAACTTTTTGCCTGGGCTGGCTTACAACTTCAATCCTCCTGATCTCAGTATTCTAAAATAGGATTTTATTTTTTTAAACTTGTTAATTTTTTTGATGGAATTGTTTGGAAATTGTCTGACATCAGATGCTGAGTCAAGTTTCATAAAAATGAGGCCCTTTGTTAATCATTGTATTTGACAGTTCTTTTGCTAATATCTTTCTCCAAGGATTCGCAAGCATTTGGGCTTATAATACGGATCTAATGTTGTTCTGAGATGCATAGCAAGGATAAGCCTTACCCTTCCACTAATGAGTATGTTATATATTTTGGGAGAAGAATACAGAGATATAAGTGTGCTTTGTGTTAGTAAGTATTTTAATAAATATTGCAGCATATTAATGAGAAATTGAGAAATCGAATGTGTGAATCATTAACACATTTAGTGTTAATGATTGTGACTGCAATGATCAAGGTGAAATATTATTTCTCATGCTTCCTTAATCAGGTGACTCTTCAATTAATACTTGATTTGCTTTTAAAATACAGGCCTGGTAGAACATGGTCGTAACTGGGCAGCAATTGCCAAAATGGTGGGAACTAAAAGTGAAGCACAGTGTAAAAACTTCTATTTTAACTATAAGAGGCGACACAATCTTGACAACCTCTTGCAACAACATAAGCAGAAAGTGAGTATATCAGAAGTGGTGAGTTGTTAAACTTAGGTTTTTGGGGTTTTTTTTGTGGTGGTACTAAGGTTTGAATTCAGGGCTTCATGCTTGTTAGACAATGCACTTTATCACGAGCCATGCCTCCAGCTACCCCAGGCTTGCCTTGAACTTGAGATCCTTCTGCCTCAGCCTGCCCAGAGATTGTTTTTATTTATGTACTTACCTATAAAAAAAAAAAAGAGTTTCTTGTACAGGTGGACTAGTTCCCCTTTTACTGCCCAAGGAATGAAGCTTCTGTTTGTAGTAATAGTAATTTAGTACTTTTTAATTACTGTAATCCAGATTTAAAAAACATAAGCACTTGGAATTTTAATTGAAAACTTTAGGTGGAATTCTATTGATCATGTTGATTTGATATTAATATATTAAGCACATTTTTTCCACTTGGGAAACTGAGGCAGGAAGTTTGTGAGGTTGAGGCCCACCTGGGCTACATACCAAAGCTCTGTCTCAGGAAAAAAGTAAAACAACAAGAAACACATTTTTTCAGAAGCAAGGATTCTGTTGAATAAAAAAACAGACTTTTGAAAATAATTTAACAAGGAAGTTCCAGTGTAGTGGTTCTTAAAGTTCATAGAGCTTTTTGAGAGTTCTGTGAAAACTGTCTTCATAAAAATACTAAGCTGTTACTTACTTTTATCCACTGTATTAACATTTGCATTGATGCTGTCAAAGTGGTGTTGTGTAAAAGTGCTGGTGCCCTGCGCCAGTCATAGCAGGGCACCACATGTATTGGGACTCATCTGTTAGCATTTATAGGATTAAAAAAATTTTTTTGTGCCAGTGTCACGGCTTAAGGTGTGCATAAGGCCACCATGATCAATTAATAAATAAAATGTGAGTTTCATTTAAGAATGCCCTTGATAAGGCAATAAAAAATATTAAATGTTTACCCTTGAGTACATGTCTTTTTAGTACCGGGTGTAATGCAGTTGAAGAAACTCTTCTGTTCATTCTCTCCAGGAAAAGTACTTTTGCAACTGTTTGATTTTTAAGCTGAAATAGACTCCCTTTTTTCATGCAATATCATTTTTAATTGAAAGAATGTCAAGTTAGGGTTTTTCAGAGTTTAATATTTGACTGGCTTTTTTTTCAGAACTGGGGTTTGAATTCAGGGCCTCCTGCTTGCTAGGCGGGTGCTCTACCACTTTAGCCATGTCCGATCCTTTTCTGCTTTTGTTATTTTTCAGGTAGGTCTTACATCTCCTACTTAAGCTTCCTCAGTAGCTAGGATGACAGCATCTTACCACGCTCAGCCTTTTCCTTGAGATGGGGGTTTTCACTGCTTTCTCAGGTTGGCTTCAAACTACCATCCTCTCAATCTCTGCCTCCTGAGTTGCAGGGATTATAGGCATGAGCCACTGTGCCTGGCTCACAGTTTTTTGTTTTTTGTTTTTTTGACAGTAAGCAAACCTGTTGTTCAAAGAAAGCTCCATTTCTTTTTGGTGAGGTTCGACTCAGTGCCTCTCAAAGTTTCTGATATTTCTTGTCACTTTTAAATTCTTTGCAGAAATAAAAATTTTGAAAAATATGTATCCATCACTATGTGGTCTTAGTTTTCTAATATTATAACAAATATCTGGGATAATAAAATTATAAAGAGGAAAGATTTATTGTGGCTCACAGTTTTTCTGTTTCAGTCAGTGGATTGGGTTGGTTCCATTGCTTTTGGGCCTGCCCTATACATCATGGCAGGAGTGGTAGAGGACAAAGCCTATTTACCTGCTCACTGGTAGCCTGAAGGAGAAAAATGGCCCAGGGTCCCAGTATCATCTTTGAGGTCACAGTCCCAATGAACTAGGCTCCTCCTTTTATAGGTTCCAGAGCCATGAGCTGAAGACCAAGCTTTTAACACATGGGCCTTTGGGATCATTCTGTTTAATAGCACAGTGCCTTTTTTTTTTTTTTTTTCATTTTTCTTTTATTATTCATATGTGCATACAAGGCTTGGTTTATTTCTCCCCCCTGCCCCACCCCTCCCTTACCACCCACTCCACCCCCTCCCGCTCCCCCCCTCAATACCCAGCAGAAACTATTTTGCCCTTATCTCTAATTTTGTTGTAGAGAGAGTATAAGCAATAATAGGAAGGAACAAGGGGTTTTGCTGGTTGAGATAAGGATAGCTATACAGGGCATTGACTAGCACAGTGCCTTGAGCTTAACGCCTTCTCATTACAGGCTTTTCTGATGAGATCAATGATAATAATAGCAAATAAAATGATTTAGTATTATATAATGAAAGGTATCCAAATTAGGAAAAATTTGTGTAACTCTTTTGAGGAGCTAGTCGGAGGGTACTGAAGTTCTAATCTAGAGCCTCATGCATACTAGGTAAGCATTCTACCACCCCACTACCTCTAGCCCCTCAGTATTTTTGCCTCTCTTCCCTCCCCTCTCTTCCCTCCCTCTCTTCCCCTCCCCTCCATTAATAGTAAAAGAAATTTAGTAGTAACACTGATAAGGAGTTGTTGCCTTTAGAACTGCATGAAGAGTTATGCAGTCAGTGCTAGTGAAGGAAGTTTATTACAGCATTACTAATACCTAAAGTTGAAAATTTCCTAAATGCCTTAAAGTAGAATTTTAATTATATTGGTAGAAATCTTTCTATGGAACTCTTATAAAAATAATTTTGTAGAATTTATGACATCGGGATATGTTTACTTCATAGCTACCTTAGGCTTAAAAACGTAGGATATATTTCTATATAGGGCTGTCAGGATGTATTTACATGCACATACAGAGACATACATACGTGTATGCATCTAAAGGAAAACATACCAGTGCTCTTACAATCTCTAGCTGTTGAAATTTTCATAAGAAAGATACATTATCTGCAGTAGGGGAGGAGCATGTAGATTTGCTGTTGGAATATAACTTTTACGTGTGTGTGTTACTGAAGTTTGAACTCAGGGCCTGGGGCTTGCTGATCAGGTTCTCAACCACTTGAGCTTCACCTTGCAGCCCTTTATGCTTTAGTTATTTTTCAGATAACAATGTACATAATTTTCCTCAGCCAGCCTGGGACTTCGATCCTCCTACCTATACATCCTGCATTGCTGGGATTACAGTTGTGTACCATCATGGCTAGATTGTTTCTTGAGATAGTATCTTGCTAACTTTTGCATGGGTTGGCCTAAACTCAAGATCCTCCCATTTTCTACCTCCCAAGTAGCTGGGATTACAGGTATGCATGACCACATCCAGCTCTAGATACAACTTTTGATGGGTTTTATTAAAGTGATCTATCTAAACAAAAGCCAGTTAGTGGTTGCCAGAGATTTCTGCCAGCACATTAACCAGAACTATTGTCAAACACACAGCCTTCTTGTCTGGTATGTGTGTCTGTCAGCGTGATATGTTTTTAAGAAATGGAATTTGATTTTTTTCCTTTTATTTTAAATCATAAATAATTTAATATTGTGTACTCTTTTAGACTTCACGAAAACCTCGTGAAGAGAGAGATGTATCTCAGTGTGAAAGTGTGGCTTCCACTGTTTCTGCTCAGGAAGATGAAGATATTGAAGCCTCCAATGAAGAAGAAAATCCAGAAGATAGTGAAGGTATCTTAAATTCACTCGAGACTTCTGCTATCCCAAATGTGAAATTTTTTGTTTACTCACTTGATTATATAGGAATTGCTTCATGGAGAAAATAATGTATCAGTATTTTCATGGCATAGACTTTAAACTTGAACATAATGTATTTATTCATTTGATTAGCAAGTATTTATTTATGTGGTACTTAACATGTTCCAGGCACTACACAACTAGAAGAACTTAACCGTGACAGTTCTACTTCCAACCCTTATGTACCATCATCAGTATTGCTGAATTTACCTACTCAGTCATCATCATTATATTTAGTGCCTTGAGATTGACTTAGTTCATATTTTTACACTTTACATATATCATATTTCTCTTTAAATGTAACACAAATTAAAGACCCTAGAAGCTCTAGTAGGAAAGTATCAACCCAAGTTATGGAAAAAATAAAATCCCCTTAGTTATTCAAGCAAATAAGTGACAACTTCCTGAAAAACTAAACATTTTGAGTGTTAGCCACTTAAAAAAAAAAAACAGTAATAATTTATTTCAGTTTACGTTACTTTAACGTTTTTGTGGATTTCTTTTGTGAAATGACTTTCTGATACAAGGATTCTCATAATGATTTCAGTAGCTCTTTATTATATATTAAACACCTTCAGTTTTGTAAATACTCATCTCATTTGCTTTTTGTTTTATTTTAAGTTTGAATTACCAGAGTTTAAACCATGTGATATAATTAGAGCAGGTTTTTTTTTTCTTTAAAGACAAAATCTTGCTATGTAATCCAGGCTGACCTCAAACTTGTCGTCCTTCTGCTTCTGCATCTCCAGTGCCATCATGCCTAGTTAGAGCTGTTTATCCTTTGTAGAATTTTATATAAGCTTAGGAAGCTTTATACCCTTTCGTTTTGGCAGTGTTAGATTTTACTTACTTACCTACTTTATTGATTGATTGATTGATTGGATCTCCCTATATTATAGTTTAGGCTGGCCTGGAATTCATTGTGTAGACGAGACTGACCTTAACTTGTGATCCTCTTGTCTCAGCCTCCCAAGTGCTAGGATTATAGGTGTGCACTACCGTGCCTAGGTTTTATTTTTTTTTTCTACAGGTTATTATTGTCTTTTCTTGAAATGGATTTTGTTTTAAATAATAAATAAACTTTTTTCTATGAGGTTCTTTTGGAAAATGAGGTAATTGACATACATATACAGAGAATACTGAAGCAAGGTCATCCTTGAAAGTGTGTACTGTAAACAATGGATTGCAGTTTATGGTGCTTCCAAAGGTCATCAGAAATTGTTTATTTTATCAGGCTTATTTATGGTAGCTAGTATTCCCTGAGGTTGTAAATGTAAATAAAACCTGTACAGCATTCCCCCTTACCCATGGTTTTAGTTATCTGCAGTCACAGTTATCCAAAAATATTAAATGGAACTTTTAATATTCTGAGAGAGAGACCATAGTCACATCACTTTTGTTCTAGTGTATTGTTGTTACTGTTCTATTGTGTTATTAGTTATTGTTAATCTCTGCAGTACCTAATTTGTAAATTAAACTTTAATATAGGTATGAATGTATAGAAACAAATGTAGTACATATAAGGTTCAGTGTCATCTGTGGTTCGAGCATCTACTGGGGGGTTTTGGATTGGATTCCCCATGAGTAAGAAGGGACAGTAGTATTAGTCTTCTTGGGCAGCCATAATAGAATACTATACACTGGGCAGTTTAAACTATGGAAAATTGTTTTCACAGTTCTGAAGACTGGAAGTCCAAGAAGAAGTGGCAGAGTTACTTTCTTTTGAGTACCCTCATATCAGCTAGCTATAAGCTACAAGCTAGCTGATACCTCACTTTGTCCTCCCATTGCCTTTCCTTTGTGTGTGCACATTCCTGGTGTGTGTGTCTTTGTCTTCAGCAGTGGCCTTGCTGGATTAGAACCCCACCCTTATGACCTCATTTATCCTGTTACCTCCTTTATGGTCATTATCTCCAAATGCAGTCACATATAGTGTAGGGCTTCAACATTTCAGTTTGTGGAAAGGAGACACAGTTCAGGCCATCAGAAAACCCAAGCATATTATCATAAATTTGTTAATTTCAGGGCAACATCCACAAAAATCTGTTCATGGATGGGCCAGCAGATTCTTAAAAAACAACTACCAAAACTTGACTTTTTCCCTTCTACTTTCTTCCTGATATCTTACAGTGAACCTTTTTTAAAACTATTAAGATAATGTGTCCATCTGGTCTGGTGGAGAGTGGCATGGTCACATCCCATGCAATAATGCATAAAGTTATTCTGTGACATCTAGTATAATGTTCTAAAAGGAAGTGAATTGCCAGTAGAACTCTTTTCATTTCTTTTTGGTTTAGCTTCCTTTGTAAAGTGCCATAGAAAAGAATGTAAATGCAGTACATGCCTGGTGATGTTATCCCTATTGCCAATCCTAATGAGATACTGCAGATGCACTTTTATTGTGTGGCAAGGCTCTTTCCAGTGGGAGAGTGAAGGTGACTGCTGAGGGGAGAATTACTGTGTCTGTCTGTCTTCCTAAAACACATTTGACGTCTCAGTATCTCTCCAGTATTAGAAGATTTAAATCAGGAAGGTTGAAACTTCACCAAAATTTGGACTTGCTCTTGTTCTCTTATTCTAAATCATTCTTTAAAGTTTTATTTATTTTAATTAAGACAGTGCTTATAGCCAGTGATACCATCTGGTGTGCAATTACTTTTATGTCTTTTAGGATAAATGACTTTGTCATTTGGCCTCTGGTAGAGCTTTCCATCACCATATAAAGAGAAATGAAGGTTAAGTCAGGTTTTTTGTTAGTTTTTCATCATTTTGATCTTTCACTGATTTTGCCACTATATATTAAGACATTATTACATGTGAGGTACTACTGTTCTGAATTTTGTCCGTCTTTTGTTTTTGCTTTTGAGATGTGAATGTTCATCGGAATTTCAGGCTCATGCCCCTAACTACCTGCTTAATATTTTTACTTGAATACCTATGAGTCTGCGCAAAATTAACATTCAAAGCGGACTCTTGTTTCCTCACTACCCTGTGTTGCTTTTTCCTCCAGTCTTTCCCTATGTCAGTAAAAAAAATTTTTTTTGTCTCTTTGTTTATTTTTTTTGGCAGCACTGGGGTTTGAACTCAGGGCCTCACACTTGCTAGGCAAGCACTTCATCTATCACTTGAGCCACTCCACTAGGCCTATGTCAATACTTTCCTAATTTTTTCTCATATGGTTCATCATGTCACTTTTTCTTTGGATATACTCTTCAGAATTGGATCCCTTTTCCCTGTCTCCATAGCTGCCACTCTTGGTTCTGCACTGCTGGCCTCTCCAGAGTCTCTTTGGTCTTCTTTCTTCTTTTGGCGCCATTCTATTATTTTTTTTTCCTTTCATGCAGTAGCCAGATTACTCCTTGGAAAATGTAAATCCAATCATATTTATTCTCCACTCCAAATCATGTAATGCTCTCCCATTTCATCAAGAGTGAAAGCTAGGACTGGAGGGATGGCTCGAGCAGTAGATTGCCTGCTTTGCAAGCTTGAGGCGAGCGTAAAGCCAACCCTTCAGTTTGCTCCCTCTGCCTCAACCAAGCTATCCTCTTTGCTATTCCCAAGCAAAACATTCTGTCAGGGGCCTTGGCATCTTCTGTTCTCTCAACTTGGCACACTCTTCCCCACAGTATGCCCAGGGCTTACTCTCTTCCTTCTTTTAGGTCTCTGTTCAGATGTCATTTGCCATTTATAATCTTTCCTTACCACTGCTTCTTCAGTTCTGTTAGTCATTGTACCTGTTGCCATCTGATACATTAAATGTTTATTGTTCCTTATTTCACATTAGAGTGTGGGCTCCATGAAAGCACATAATTTGATTTCTCTCACTGCTGTGTCTCCAGAATCTCAGACAGCTGCACAGAGTAGACATTTTACACACATTTGAGTGAATGAAAAATGGATTCATTGAGTTTTTAAATAGTCTGAAAATCATATAAAGAAAACAAAAAGAAAAAATACTGATGATCTTATAGTTTTTACTTTATCTCTGCATATTCCAGAGGTTACAAATATCTTGTCTAAGTACTTCTAAACTTAAAAAAAAAAAAAAAAGACTTTCCATTGGGAATTACTTTTCTTACAACATAAGATAGAGCCCCATGTTTTTCTTCCAGATAAAGAACCATTTACAATTGAACAGTTTTATTAAATAAATCATCCTATACTCCATGACTTAAAATACTACCATTAATATAGCTTAATTTCCCATATATGTTAAGATTTTTCCTGGACATTGTCTTTTGTACCACTGAATGTACTTGTCACTCTGGCAATTCTGTATATGTTTTAATATGTGGCTTTATGGTGAGTTTGTGTGACTGGAGAGGCAAATCTTTGCTCACTTTACTACTTTTCATAATTTTCTGGGATTTATTTTCAGTGTCTTACTCTTCATGTAAACTATTGGTTCACTAGCTTAAGAAATTTTTCTTAGAAACTTTGAATTCTCATTAAAAGTGTATTATATGTCTGTGTTTCTGTGTGTGTATATTGTCTATTTTAAGAAAATAACCTAAAAAGTTAATGCTACAGTGAACATCTTTGCAAACTGTTATAATGCCAAATTGTAAACAGCTCAAGGATTCAAAAACTCAAGATAAATGTAAGGCTTCTACAAAACTATTAATTCAGTTTATATTTTAGCCAACATTTGAGTCTGATGTGCCAGGCACAATGCTAGTCTTTAGTACAGAAGTACTAATCAGTATATAATCTTTGTCCATATGGAGTTCATAGCCTTGTAGAAGTATGAGTACATGTTATAAGAGCTCTAATAGTACAGTTTAACTTTGTTAATGAAGCTATAGAATGTTTTTTAAGCATGTGGCATTTGAGCTGATACCTAAAGGAAAGATCCTTTCAGAAAATGAGACTGAATGGTAAGTACAGTGCCTAAGTGGGACATTCAGAAAACAAAAAGGCTTGTGAGACTGGCATACATAGAGCTGGGTGCAAGGTGAAGCTTGAGAGGCTATCAGGCTATGCTGACAATTTTGGCACTTTCTCCTAAGAATAATGGTGTTTCATTGAAAAGTTGAAACTTAAAGAAAACAGGGAGAGTGAGTGATGTTAAGATTCAGCTTTTTAAAATTAATTATTTAATAATTTATTAGCAATGCTGTGGTTGGTTTGAACACATGACCTTGTGCTTGCTAGGTAAGCACTCTACCACTTGAGACACACCCCCAGCCATCTTTTTATTTTAACAGTATTTCAGATAGGGTTTCATGCTATCATGATCCTCCTATCTCTGTCTCCCAAGTAGCTGGGATTATAGGCAAGAGTACTCCAAACATCTGGCTAAGATTTGGCTTTTAAAAAGATCATTGTAGCCAGGCGTCAGTGGCTATGTCTGCAATCCTAGCCACTCAGAAGACAGAGATCAGGAAGATAGAGGTTCTAGGCCAGCCTAGGCAAATAGAGACCCTTTCTCAAAAATACCCAACACAAAAAAGGGCTGGTGGAATGTCTCAGATAATAGAGTGCCTATATAGCAGTCTGAAGCCCTGAATTTAAACTCCAATATCACCAAAATAAAATAAAATGAAAAACATCACTCTAGTTCGGTTGAAGTAGAAGGTATAAAAAAAGTCAAATTTGGAGTAGAGTGGCAGCTGGAAAGTAGAACAGAATTGGTTGAATTCAAAAGATAATTTTAGAAAAATCAATGAGACTTGAAGCAGGATATAAGGGTCAGTCAGAGGAAGGTTTAATAGACTACTCCTAGGTTTTTTTGGTGTGTTTAATTGGGTAATTAGAAAAGGGTGATTTGGGAACATACATACAACCCCAGTGTAGGACTTGTATTGACTTTGTGATTTCTTTGGTGAAGGATTTGTGATTCCTTTGTGATTCATCTAAGTGAAGATGTCAAAAGTATTAGAGGTATCTTTATGAAATGATACCAAGAACATGAGGAAAGATCTATGTCACAACATGAAATTTCAAATCTGTGACATAGTATTTAGAGCTTTGTTGTCCAGTGTGGTAGACATTAGACACACATGGTTATTGGATACTTGAAAGGTAGACAGTCCAAGTTGAGATATGCTGAAAATATAAGATATGCATGACACTTTGAAGACTTGGTACCAAAAAAGGCAGAACATCCTACTATTCGTTTCTTATATTGGCTACAGTGTTGAAATGATTATATTTTGGACATACTAGATTAAAGCAATAGTTTTAATTTTACCTTCTTTTTACTTTTTTATTTGACCACCTGCAAAATTCAATTTATAGATGTGATTTACATTATATTCCTACTGAATTGTGCTTTTCTAAAGTGTGAGCTCTAATTGGGTAAAAGGAAATGCACAAAAAGAGGCTCATAGAAATATACCAGAATGTCACCATTCATGGGAATGTTTTTTGTTTAGTTTTGTTGTTCCATCTTTCTTTGTTTTTCAAATTTCAAAATGAATTATTTTCAGACATCAAAAGCGTTTTCAATTTCAGAGAGTCAAGACAATTTGATCTTTCACTTTCATGCTCTCAGAAAACTTTAGCTTTCCCAATGGCTATAAATACTTCAGTGAGGTCATCAATGGAGCATATTCATCCTATACAACCACTTTCAAGCATGGTTTCTGTCACCACCTGAACCACGTTCATTATCAGATTTTTATGCTATATCATTATCTTTAAGGTGCTGAAAATAGTTCTGATACAGAAAGTGCTCCTTCTCCTTCACCAGTTGAAGCTGTCAAGCCCAGTGAAGACAGCAATGAAAATGCTGCTTCTCGAGGAACCACTGAACCTGTGGCTGAGCTCGAGTCCACCACTGACCCTGCACCCAGTACATCTCCCTCCTCAGCAGTTGCAAGTACAAAACCAACTGAAAGTGAAAGTGTGGAGACCCAGGTGACTGACAGCATCAGTGCTGAGACAGCGGAGCCAATGGATGTAGACCATCAAGAGTGTGATGCTGAAGCTAGTTCTGTTCTTGATCCCCCAACCACTACCAAAGCAGATTCTGTGGATGTTGAAATGCGGGTGCCCGAAAACTCTGTGTCTAAAGGTGAAGGAGATACCAAAGAAAGAGACTTGGAGAGAGCAAGTGAGAAGATTGAGCCTAGAGATGAAGATTTGGTGGTAGCTCAGCAGATAAATCCCCAAAGGCCTGAGCCCCAGTCAGACAATGATTCCAGTGCCACTTGTAGTGCTGATGAAGATGTGGATGGAGAGCCTGAGAGACAGAGGTGAGACTCATTCCCATTCCTGCTTAGCTGGTTACTAGCAGAGTCAAAGAATAGTGCTGGCTGCAGAGATGACTCCTATACAAATAGTGACAAAGTATAGGTAGTCTGTGATTTTATTATTAAGCAATGGATGCCATTCATATGTTTCAATAATCAAAACCAGTTGAATGATTATTCTTAAAGTGCAACAGATTTTATATTTCTATATCTTGTCTTACTACATATATTCTGTGGTAGCAGATAAAAGGGATCTCAGCTAACATAGTTGTGAATAAAATCACAGGTGATTGTGGTGCCCAAAGATAGCAGCAGTGGGATATGGTGAAGGCGGAGGTGGAGGTGGAGGTGAGGGGCCTTGACTATAGCCGTGTGTTTCTCTATGCTGGCTTCACCTCACAGCAAAGTTGACCAGGCCCAGAGTTGTAGCTATAAGAAAACACTTCAAGGAGAAACTGTCAAGTGTCCTGAAAATACTGTAAAGAGCATAATTTAAGTTAATAATAATTGCATTGATAGTTTTATGAATTAAAATTTTAGATTGTTCATATTTATAATGTAGAATATAAGGTATAATATAAATTATAAGTATTTCTAGTTACTAAAAATAAATTAATGTGTTTGTCTTTAGGACTTTTGTAAGTTACAGTATAAAAGACATTTGATAGGAATAGGTACTGGTTTAATGTATTTAATATCCTGGTTTTTCCTTCTCCTTGAAAGGGGTAGAATCACCTAGAGTCATAGTAGATGTTGGATTGCTACAAATTCTAGAAGAAAAACAGTCTAACACATCATTTAATCAGAAACTCAGTCAAACCCTGTCCAGTTTTTTTTGCTTTTGGCCTTTAAAACTTTTTAGTAGAAAAAGGCATGAATAAGCCACTCACCAGAGACCAGATTCTATTCACAGTTCAGCTTTTATGAATAGTGTGTCCTGGCATTAAATACACATTTAGTCTATAACCAGTCTATTCTAAATTTCAATAATTTCTCAATTTCAGTAACTAAAGTAAATATACATGGATTCAAGCTGCATAGTTTTTAAAGAATTCTTTAATGATACGTCTCATCCAAAATATGTGTGTTTTGTGCCGTTCTTTTGGAAACTATATTTATGCAAGAAGGAAAAATTAGGATGGCAGGAACCTGTTTTGTTTTCATTAACAAAATGCATAGTACTTATATTTGCAAATAAAAATATATAATTTCTTTGGCAATAGACTAATGACTCATTTTAATTTCACCTTATAATTTTCCTGAGTTGTACAGTATTGAAAATTGCCATCCAGTCATCATTTCTAGGTTAAAAATTTATTTAACAAGTGAAACACAGATAAAGAAATTGCAAAACAAGAAAAAGAAAGTTTAACCTATAAAATCCTGAAAAACACAGATTTACTATTTTTTTAAAAATTCTTTTAGATAACTACCATTTTGAGTTGTGACCATATTCCCATGAAGATCAGGTATTGCTAATCACTGACAATCAGTGTATGGCAGAGAAACTTCAAAGAAAATCCATTATAACTTCCCATAAAGAGCTCTTGTGCAATAATTTTAAAGAATAAATAATATTAGAGAAACTTCTTTATGATATTAACAAATTACAGTGGTTTAACATAGATGTCTTTAGAAATGCACATAGACTTTCTTAGGCCCTTAGAAGTAATGGAAGAGCGATCATATTATGCAGACCATCATAGGCAAAGGGGAGGAATTTGGTTGTCACTATGAATGTGTGGGGAGACCACTGGAGGGAAGGAGGAGCCTGATAACAATAGGGCAGGAGATTGTCCTTCTGTAAGAGCAAGAGAAATAAACCTAGGCTTCCATCATTTCCATTGGAACTGCTCTCAATCCACAATTTAAAGTCTGGCTTCCTCCTTCACCTTTGAACCTCTCACCTGTGACTTCTGCTACACTTATTCCAGTCTTCCTCAATCAAAGGCTACAGTTTCTTGTTTCTTCAAATTCTAAGGCTCTTTCCTTTGCTTTAGAAAGGTGACCAGGTATGGCTTATGGAAAGCAACTCCCTGGAGACCAGGTTTCTATAATTCTCTAACATCACATCTCTATATAAATTCTATTGTACCAACTCTAGGACTTCTTACTCCTCTTGTGAGAAGTTAATGGCCACATTCTTAAAGGTCAACAGTTTTATTTCCTGGTTTCCGGGTGTCTGGCATCCTCTCTGTGGATCTTCCAGCACCTACAGGTCCCTGGACAACAGAGGCTGCAGTAGTGCCACCTGACCCTACTAAGCAGAGAGGAGAGAGAGATTAACATGACAGTCACCTTGGGTTCTGTTTTCCCCAGTAGTGGCGACTGAACTCTGGCTGTTTGTGTCACACCCCTAGTCATGACTATAGTCTTGAAAGTAAGAAATTCCTTGTATGGCTGGGGGTTGTGATTCAGTGATAAGAGAAAAATTTTAAAGGTTCACCTTTTCCTAGTGATTATGCCACCAATGAAAAATATGACCAAGCCTATAAAAACCTGACATTAATGTGTAATTTCCCTAAGTTTATACATGAGGTGTCCTAAACTCAAGTGTAGGTCCTGGAGTTGAATAAAGCAGATAGAATGTTAGATGGCTGTAAGGAACTGTGTGATCAGAGGAACATGTGCCCATGTGAAGCTGCTGTGTGAGAATGCTGGTTCAGCATTGTCAGTTCTTTCCATTTTTCATGAGAAGCCAGAAGTCTGGAATTTTTGGTAAAATTCTCCATTTAAAAATGGCATTGGCTTATAACCCTGTGATCCCAGCAAAACATCCTATAAATGTATAACAAGTTTTTAACCTACTTTGGTACGTTAGTGGTAAATTAAAATTGAATTTTTTTTTTTGTGGTACAAGAGTTTGAACTTAGGGTCTATACTTTGAGCCACACCATCCCTTTTTTGTGAAGAGTTGGTTTTTTTTTGGGATAGGGTCTCAAGAACAGGTTCCCCAGGCTGGCCTAGAATCACATCCTCCTGATCTCTGCCTCCTGATTAGCTAGGATTACAGGTGTGAGCCACTGGTGCCTGGCAAAAACTGAACATTTTTTAAAATGGTTTTTATTCAGACTGTTTTGTTGGTTTGATGTAGATAATTAAAAATTAGACAAATTTCAAATTATGTCAAAGTTAGGTTTTTGCATTTGGAGAATTTGTAGTATAGGCGCCTTTTTCTTGCTATCAAAATATTTTATTTTTTTGAAATGGTGCTAGGGATTGAACCTAGGGCCACATACAGACTAGGCAAGTACTCTACCACTGAGCTACACCTCAGTCCTTTTCATGTCTTACATGGGTTAATGTGATAGATTATATGTATGAATGTGCATATATTAACTTAGAAGGAATTATGGTGACTGTACTACTTTTAAATTGATTTTTATTAAATAAAATTGCATTCATTTATCATTTTTCCCCCAATTGTAGAATGTTTCCTATGGATGCAAAGCCTTCATTGTTAAACCCCACTGGATCGATACTAGTCTCATCCCCAATTAAACCAAATCCGTTGGATCTGCCACAGCTTCAGCATCGAGCTGCTGTTATCCCACCAATGGTGAGATTTTGTTGTGAGAAAATTAAAGTTAAAATACAGAAAACTTTATGGGCATATTTCTTCTCTTGAATTATGATCTTGATTATAATTTTTTTGTGGTGGGACTGGGGTTTAAACTCAGGGCCTTACACTTGCTTCTACCACCTGAGACTTGAGTATTTTGCCAGACCTTTTCATGATGATATTTTCAAGGTAAGAGTGGTGAACTGTGATCTTCCTGAGTAGGATTACAGGTGTAAGCCACTGGTGCCTGGCTTATTCTTGATCTTTTTAAAGAATTGTGATTAAAAAAACCAAAAAACAACACATAACATAAAATTAACCATCTTAGCCAATGTTAAGTGTACAGTTCAATAGTGCTAATTTACATTGTTAGGAAACAGATCTCCCAAACTTTTTCATCTTCTAAATCTGAAACACTGTACTAGTGAAATAAGTCCCCTTGCTTGGCCAACACCACCTCTGCCTAGCCACTGGTAACCAACATTCTGTTTTCTGTTTCTGTGAATTTGACTACTTTAGATATCAATGAATTATTTTTTTTAGCACATTTCTTTCCTTTTTTTTTCTATACTGTGGTTTGAACTCTGGGCTTCATACTTGCTAGGCAGGTATGCCACCAGCTGAGTCACTTTGCCTGCCCTTAATGCAGCATTTCTGATAGCAAATGTGTGGGGTTTTTCCTCACACCCACCAGTTTCCCAAGTTTCTAGACACCAAGGTATCGTATCCTACAGTTGAATTCAGTTTGTTTTGTTTTGTTTTTTTGAGTTACTGGGAATTGAACTCAGGGCCTCAAGCACATTTGTGCTTTACCACTTGAGCCACATCCCCAGTCCTTTGCTTTTAGTTTATTTTTTCTCTTTTCCCCAGGCCAGCCTCAGATCTTTATATTTCTACCTCTGCCTCTCAAGTTGCTGGGGTTACAGGCATCTGCCACCATGCCCAACTTCAATTAAGTTTTGACACTACCCTTATTTAGTGTCAGACGCCATAAGTGTAAGTGCTCAGTTTCTACTTCATCTGCCAGTTATTCAAATAGAGGGTCCTCAGGTTGCCCACTTCTGTCCAACTGGGTTGCAAGTTAGAGGATCCCCCAACCCTCCCTGTCAGGTTCAGTAACTTTCTGGAATATCTCACATAACTTAAGAAGGTACTTTATTATTGGTCTATTGTAAATGATGCAACTCAAGCAGACAAATGCATAGGTCAGGGTATGTGGGAAGGGGTGTGTAGCACTTCCATGTCCTCTCTGGGCATACTACCCACCTAGCACCTCCATGTGCAACCTTTAACAAACCTCCTGTTAATGGTTTTTATGGAGTCTTTGTATATATGCATGATTTTATATATATATGTATATATACTCATGATTAAATTATTGACCTTTATTGATGAGTGTGTGAACATATGGCTCCTCTCCCCTCCTCAAAGTTGTAGGGTAGGGTTGGCTGGGAGGAGCTGAAAGTTCCACCTTGGAACTCTTTTGGACCTCTAACCAGCAGTCATCCCATGGCATAAAAAAGATATTCTTCATTGCTCTGGAGAGTCCAAGAATCTTAGGAGCTGTGAGCCAGGAATCAGAGACAATGAACAAATATTCAACTATTGTTATTTCACATACTTCATATAAATAGAACCACACATTATTAATCTTTTTGTGACTGGCTTATTTCATTTATCACAATGTGTGCAAAGATTATGGGTGTCTCAGAGGAAACTTCAGATACCACATAGGAAATCATATTTTAATTGAACCAAAACAGTTCATTTTGGCTTTATAGAAAAAGGAGGAAACTTTATTTTTACATGCAAGACAAAGCACAAAAGCAAAAAAAACTATGTGTGTGCTTTGAGATCCCGTTTTTGGTAGGTTATAGAAGTCTTTAGATAGCAGATTCTAAAAACGATAGACTCTGGGGTTTCCTGTGGCTATTTGTTGTTTATGAGTATTTAGCCATGAACTATATTTGGGCTATTTAATATTGGATAAAACAACATAGGTTCTTTCCTTCATTAAGTGGGAGACAGAAAAAATAAATAGATTAAAAAAAAAAGCAAACCCATAATTGCCAGACAGGGCAAGTGCTGTGTACAATGAAAGAAATGAACAGTGTGCAATGAGAAGCAAAATGGAAAGGACTCACCATGTTTCACTGGATGGTTAGGGATGACCTGTTTGAACAATGATTAACAGAATCATGTTAATGAATTAGTTGTGGAAGGGAAGGAGCTTGATTAGTCAAGGATGATGGCCAGCTTTCTAGCTGAGGTGGCCAAGATCCATTTCTAAGATGGGGAGTACCAAACAAGAATTAAGTTTTAGGAAATGGAAAGTTCCACTTTGAATATAAGTTCTGGGCTGCTTAGATATTTGGGTATGATTGTAGAATTTGGAGGAAGTCTCTTGGAAATAGAAAGTTTCTGAGTCATTACCATATGGATGACATTTAAATCCACAGAAATAAATCTGATGGCCTGGTAAGAGACCAAGACCAGGGATGGAACCCAGAGCCAGGGCAGAAGGAATAAGAGACTTTGTCCATCAAAAGTTGGAATCAGATGCTTTTTAATTTCTGATTTTGAGTTCTCTCTCTTTCTGTCTCTTCTCTCTCTTCCCTTTTTATTTTTATTTTTTTTTGGCAGTACTGAGATTTGAACTCAGGCACTCTGCCACTTGAGCCACTCTGTCAGCCTTCTTTTGTGTGGGTAGTTTTGAGATAGTCTCGCTTTTTGTCCATGCTGACTTAAACCAATATCCTTCTAATCTCTGCCTCTCTAGTCACTAGGATGACAGAAGCTACTGGCTCCTGACTGATTTCTCTTACCACAGCTTTTTCATATATGTTGTGTTTCCATTCTGAAAGTAATGTGGAGTACTTAAGCATTCTTCTTGATAAAACATGGTAACTACCTGGCTCAGAGAATAATATGAAAGAAATAAGCATTACTTATGACAAGTGGTAATCACTGCTACATTGGCCATTAGCTCATTTAGATTTCGTCGTCTTCCTGTAGGTTTCCTGCACCCCATGTAGTATACCTATTGGAACTCCTGTGAGTGGCTATGCTCTCTACCAGCGACACATTAAGGCAATGCATGAGTCAGCACTCCTGGAGGAACAGCGGCAGAGGCAAGAACAGATAGATTTGGAATGTAGAAGTTCTACAAGTCCATGTGGCACTTCCAAGAGTCCAAACAGAGAGTGGGAAGGTAGGTAAATGGAGCGATCACTATCACCACACAGAACTTCTCTGATAGAAACAAAGCTAAACCCAACAGCAGTGTCCTTTGTTACCAGCATTTCAGTCAGTCTCTTAAATTTGTTCCTAACATATGAGATTCCTTAAATTGATCTCATTTACTCTATTGAATATTATTGACTACTAAAAGATAACATTAACATTTTTAATAGAATTCTAGATAATATGAAGTTTCTGAAGTCTTTATGCTGAAAGACTTTATAAAAAAAGCCATGCTTTATGGTTCATTCATATGAATTTTCAGAATGAGTGGAAACTGTTGTCCTGTCCTTGAAGCAGATCACCTAATGTTCCAGTTCTCTTCTCTGATATGACACAGAGACAGCTTTGTGTATTTATAGTGCCAGTCAGATCTTGGCTCAGTCTTCACCCTGCATTAGTCAGATGGTAGACCTGGGCAATCACTTAACTTTTCAGAGTTTTAGTTTTCTCAACTATAAAGTGAAAATAGAAATAAATACCTACCTTGTTGGGGTTGTAAAGTCAAGAGAATGAGCATTCAGTATTGTCATATAATACTTGGCTCAGCATTTATGTACAGTATATTATATGCTAATTAGCATATTAGCATGTGTACATACAGGTATGGAAGTACCTGTCATCATTGCTCTGTCACTTGTTATCCCTTATTAGTTCAGGTGATAGTTCAAGTTGGTTTTTTAGTTGGGGCATGATCCATTTTTTTTTTAAAACAAGGGGTGATTTCTAAATTTTAATAATTTCTGACATAGCAGAATTGATTGGCACATGCGCTCTGGTTGATAATTAACTTAGGGACTCTGTATGTGCTATAATAGCACAATATGCTTGGAATGGTAATTCAAAAGACTTATATGTAATACATTATACAGACAAGTAAGTGGCTGATTTCAGAATGCCATGCTGTGGAATTTAACTGATCCTGCTGACTCCTTGCCCAAATCACACCAGTGATGAGTTGTTAGTTACATAAGACACTGAACCTCTTATGGTAGAGTTTTGAATATATAATCATTAGTGAGCTTTTGGGTTTTTTTTTTTTTTGACAGTACTGGAGTTTGAACTGCTTGCTAGGCAGGTGCTATACTGCTTGAACCATATCTCTAGTCCTTTTTGCTCAGGTTATTTTTGAGAGATGATCTCACCTTTTGCCTGGGTTGGCCTGGATTATAATTCTCCTTTGTTGTTGTTACTGTTGTGGAGCTAGAGTTTGAACTCAGAGCTTCACACTTGCTTGAAGATTGCAGGGTCTCTACTTCTTGAGTCAAACCTTCAGTCCATTTTGCTTTTTTTTTTTTGGCAGCACTGGGGTTTGAACTCAGGGCCTCATGCTTGCTTAGCAAGTGCTCTTATACCTGCCACTCCACCAGCTGCTCTGGTAATTTTGGAGATGGGAGAATCTCATGAACTATTTCCCAGGGCTGACCTCAAATCTGATCATCCTGATACCAGCCTCCCAAGTAGTAGGCTGGAGCCACTGTCATACAATCCTCCCCTTTATGTTTCCCTGCATAACTGAAATGACAGGTGTGTGCCACCACTTCCAGCCTTTTCTGTTCAGAATGGCTCCCATGAACTTTTCTCCCTAGCTAATCTAGAACTGTAATCTCTGCCTCCCAAGTTGCTGGGATAACAGGTGTGAACCACTGTTGCCCAGTTTGTTAGTGCCATTTATTTATTTTTGTGGTACTGGGTTTGAACTCAGGGCCTCACACTTGCTAGGCAGGCACTCTATCACCTGAGCCATTCTGCCATCACTGGTTTTTTTTGGTGGATCTTTTTGAGATAGGGCCTCAAAAATATTTGCCTGGGCTGGCTTCCAACTGCAATCCTGATCTCTGCTTCCTGAGTAGATAGGATTACAGGTATGAGCGGAGGTAGAAATATCGATACTTTCTAGACTTTTACTGCACAACTTGTAGAGAATCCTTCCTCCCTAACTCTGAGGTTGACACAACAGATACTCTGCAGTTACATGTTGAAGGAATGGATTAAATTGAATGACATAACAAAGTATCTTTATCACTGGTTTTTTTCTTTTGTGGTTCTGGGAGATCTCAGTGGTACCATAATTCTTAATCATAATGCATTGATCTTTATTAAAACTAAACTATAATTATATTTTAGATTGATACAACATTAAGAATTTTATAGTTTGGTTCAAAATGACTCTACAAAGTGGGACGTTTGGTTACATTTTTCCAAAGGTTAACTTGTTTTGCCTAATCCACCTAGTATATTATTCATTCAGTAATTTAACAAGCATGTCTCTCCTTGAGGTTGTAACTATTCTGTATTTTGGTGTATAGGATAATCTTCCAAGTAACATTTTAAATATTTTCAGTTAAGTTGCTTATGTGTATACCACTGGACACAAATGCTTGATTTTTTTTTTTTTTTTTTTAGCTTGAAAAGGTAGCTCTTTTTGTTGTTTTCTGGGAGGGAGTTGGCACTGGGGTTTGAACTCAGGCTTTATGCTTGTTAGGCAGGCGTTCTACTGCTTGAGTCACATATTTCTAGCCCCAAAAGGTAGACTTTTATGTGTGTCAATTTATGTGTAAAACACCATAAAATGCTGATATAGTACACCTGAATTAGGACCATTTGTCTCACTTTCCTTGGCCTTGTTCACAAGGCATCGCATACTGCTCATCTACCTGCTTAATTACATTCACTGTCTCCTAGTGTGAACGGTGCAGTCATCAGTGCCCTTTCTTGCTTTCTTTGTCTTTAGAGAAGCTTTTTTAAACCTTAGAGAATTGTTTTCCCTTCCCACTAACATTTACATGACTTGAGCCCATTCTATTGATGACTTTCCATGAAGAAGCTCAAATTTACGCATGTGGAGATACTTAGAACTGAAGTTCTAATGCAAGTTTAACAATATCTAAAGACTTCATGCTTCTATATAACTGAATTTACTTTTGTGGGTTTTTTTGGTTTTTTTTTTTAACCTTGGTGGTGGTGTTTTGTTTTTAGGCTAGATCTTAGTAACTTTTCCTAGGCTGGTCTTGAACTTTCAGTCCTCCTGTCTTCGCCTCTTGAGTAGCTGAGATTACAGGCATGCACTATCACACTTGGCTATTTTTTTGTTTTGTATTGTTTTTCCATCTCTGGGTATATGCTAATTTAAATAGCTATAGTTACAATCATCTAAATTTCCACTGTTTTACTAAGAAAAAGCTAATATGACCAGTGAGTTTTTCTGCATAATTATAAACTTACTAGAAATAGGCTAGTCAGGCAAGTACAAGTTTAGGCCTTAAAAGGGAAAAGACAAATTGTTATTTACCCTGTAAGGTTACCTACCTAGAAAGTATAAAAGATTCAAGTGACAAATTATTAGAGCTGAAAGGAAAGTTCATTAAATTTCTTAGAAAAAGTTGTTATATAGAAATCCACATCCTTTCTATGTATCTGTAGTATGAAGTGTTAGGTATATTTATACATTCATACATATGAAAGATTTTCCTAGCAACAGAATATAAAATAGCCTAGGAATAATTTTTAACAAATGTACAAACCTATATGACAGATTACAAAATTCAGTGTAATAAAATGTCAATTCTCCTGTATTTATTCATAAATTTAATACAAGCCAATTGAAAATTCCATTGTTTAGGGGAAGAAGTACTAAAAATGACTTTAAATCTTAATTTATAGGGAAGGAAAAACGGGTAAGACTAGGAAACAAAAAGTAATAAAATGAATGGGAATTTGTTTTGGCAGACATTAAAATGCCACACATCTTAGTGCTAAGAATTTCATATGAGTTTTACTGTGTGCCTTTTAAAAATTACTATGGTAACCTCATGCTGCATTGATGGTTCACACCTGTAATTCTAGCTAATTGGGAGGCTGAGATCCAGAGAATTGAGGTTTGAGGGCAGCCAAGCAAATAGTTCACAAGGCCCATCTCAAAAATAATCAAGAGTAAAATGGGCTGGAGGTATGACTCAAGAGTTAGAGCGCCTGCTTTGCAAGCACCAAGTCCTGATTCAAACTCCAGTCCACTACGAAAAAAATAAAACACACTAACTACAGTATGTCATTTTCATTTAGGAAAAAGAAAAAATTAACCAGATACAGTGATATACAACTATATTCTTACTATGTGGGGGGCAGAGGCCTGAGGATCTCCAAGTCCAGGCTAGCCTGAGCTACATAGCTAGACACTGACTCAAAAAAAAAGAGGAAAAACATTGTTTTTCAAGAGTGTTAATTTCTGTCATGTCTTTTAAATGTTCTTTCATTCCTTTTAAATGTTCACATTTTTTATGTCGAGAATAACTTAAGCATTAATATTCATTAGCACTATTGCGTTGTATTAACAGTTTTAACACTTGTGTTGAATTTTTGGGTTAACTTTACCTACATCTTTTGAAAAAGACTTCTTTCATTCCTTGTTTAGTTTTCTGAATATTAAGTAGTTACCATCAACAGGCTAATTATAAGAATTAAAATTCTGAGAACTGACCTCTAATTCAGGCCAGACTTAAATTCACAGAATCACTTGATAATCGGGTGTTTGCTTGTGATTTTATTGCAAGTTAAAACATATGATTTTTCTTAAAAGGAAAGAATTTTTGCCCTGTGAAGGGGAAAATTGCCATTAAATTTTTGAGAAGTCTGTTAGTTCATAGTGGTGTTGGATACATAGATTTAGATTTATAGGATTTTGTAGGCCTTCTGTGGGTGAATTTCCTACCCCATCCGCCTTCCGGAGGACTTTTAGATCTTGTTAGTATATAAACAAATCTTCCCCTGGATGGTAGGGGCTTGGTCCTTTCACACTTACTATTTTAATTTGGGGTTCTTCCCTTATTTTGATAACTTTAACTTTCATAGGAAAATCAGTCGCCTATATGCCTTATGCTGAGGTCACACGTGCTCTAGAACAGGAAGCACAGATGCACAGTACCGCAGCAAGGTCAGCTTCACCGTGTAGTCTCTCTCCAAGAGAAGTCAGTAAAGCCGCTTCACAGCCTGATATGAGTGCAGCCTGCTATAGTGTCCCGCCAGGTAAATATCGCCCCTCTGCGCAGTGGCTGCCAGCCATCTAGCCACACATGTTCTACATGGGTGGTTTGATCTCATGAATGAAGTGCTCTTCCAAGGCATGTCCTTGCCGTCTCAAAATGACTTTTCTCGCCATTCCATTGTCATTTGTATTCAGTTCAAATTCACAGGGCCACTGAGAAATTTATGTTCATACATTTATATTATGACATTGACTGGCTTTTCTTTTAAGAATACATTCTCTTTGTAAAAATCTTGAGACATTTTTCCCTCAGCAATTCTGCTTTCAGCAATTCTACTTTGAAAGCCAAAATGAGTAAATATTTCTCAGGTTATGCCAGATGCACAGAGGATGTGTAACAGGTTTTCAGATACTCTGTGGAGTAATGCCAGCATTACTCAGCTCCTCCTCAGAAGCTCCCCTTTTCTCACTTGCACTGTTAAGATCTAAAGGGTCATGGAGATAGGAAAAATCACTAGATTGATGTTTGCCTCTGCTGAGCAGAAATAGTTTTAGTAATCCTGAAAGCTACAGTTTGAAAGAGTTGGATACATTAGCCTCACAAATACCATTCAAGACTTGAGTTTAGAGTTAAGTGGTAGAAAATTTCCAAGTACAGATGTTCATCCTTGGGTTCATCTCACATTTATAATTTGTGATATAAAAGTTCAGGAATGATTGAGATAGATAACCTATGGCAAACAAGGAAATTGACTTTTTAAAATCATTTTTTCCTTTTAAAAGTCCTCCAACCTGCTCCACATCAAGTGATAACTAACCTCCCTGAAGGAGTTCGACTTCCAACAACTCGACCAACCAGGCCACCACCTCCTCTCATCCCATCCTCTAAAACCACAGTGGCATCAGAAAAACCATCTTTTATAATGGGAGGCTCCATCTCACAGGTAACTTCTGTTGAATATTGCTTGGTAAAACTTCCCTCCTCACAGTAACTTGTCAGCATACTAATAAATAATAATCTGAATATGGAACTTCCAGTGACAAGGACCAGAAAATGTATCAGTTGCTATACTTCATGCCACACCCAGGAATTTTGAATGACTTTTGTACCAGATTGAGTGATCATGACATACCAGCTGGTTTGAGTTACCAAAACCACATAATCGTTTAGTGTGATATAAATTAAAATGGAATTCATCTTCATGTAATAAGATATTTGGTGACTATTTTAAAGACTCTAAATATTGTAAATGGTTGGTAATATAGGAAAGCCCTAGTTTATTCTGACTCTGGCCACTAAATCTCTTTTCTGATACATTATTTTTATTTTTTTTAACTGAAATACAGTCCAATCTTAATGTTTCAGTCAGTTTTGACAGGGTATAGTAGTCATACCCTGTCAGGTTCTCAAACATGACCATCACTTCAGAAAGTTTTCTCCTATTCCTGCCTAAGCAGTTTTTCCTCCCATGGCCTAATGCAACCACTGCTCTACTTTCTGTCTTCAGAGATTTGCCTTGCCTTTTATGTAATCAGTAGCTGAAAAGTACTCCATTGTGTGAACATACCAGTTTGTTTATCCATTCTCCTATTGAGAGAAACCTGAGCTGTTTGTAAGTTTTGACTCTGATAAATAAAGATGTTATGAACATTGTTGTACTAAGTTCTTTGTGAACATATGTTTTCATTTCTCTTGTATAATACCTGGGAGTGGAATTTCTAGAGTGGTCCTACAATTTTACCCACCAGCAGCAGTATATGAGACCAAGACTTCTGGTCTTAACTATTGCTCTGTTGACTGTTGTCTTTTTTAATTTAGGCATACTTAGTAGGTGTGTAGTAGTATTTCATTGTGGTTGTATTTTGCATTGCCCTAACAACAAATTACACTGAGTACTTTCCCATGTGCTCTGTGAAGTGACTGCTAGTTGAGCATCTGTAATCTGAATATCTGAAATCCTTCAAAATCCAAAACTTTGAGCACCAACATGTTGTCAAAGAAGAAAATCCCACACCTTACCTCAGGTGACAGATTATAGTCAAATTGCAGTTGCACTAAAAATATTGTATAAAGTTATCTTTAGGCTATGTGTGTATGAAACATAAATGAATTTGATGTCTACATTGAGTCCACATCTCCAAAATATCTTATTATATATATGTAAACATTCTAAAATTTGTAGAAATCCCAAATCTGAAACACTTCAGGTCCCAAGCATTTTGTACAAGGGGCATTTAACCTATATTTAAGTTGGTTTATCCATTTTTATTGGGTCTTCTTGTTAATAGATTTTAAAAGTTTGTAATATATTATGGTTGAAAGTTTTAGTAGGTTGAAACCTACTAGAGAGTAGGTTTGCATATTACATCTTTTTCCCCTATTTGTGACTTGTCTTTATTTTATGACTGGTGTGTTTGGGGAGTAGAAGTTTTAATTTTTGATGTACTCTATATAATTTTTTCTCCATGATTAATTACATTTTGCTGAGAAATCTTTGCCTGCTCCAAGGTTATGAAATACTATTATTATCCTGTGTTTCTTTATGCAAGCTTTATTGTGTTATCTTTTATATTCAGGGTTGTGATTAGTCTCAAAGTGATTTTTGTGTGCATCGAGATGTCAAAATCTGGTTTTTTTTCCTCATTTGGATTTCCAGTTCCAGTAACATTGTTAAAAAGTTTTCTTTCTCCTTTTTGATTGCTTTAGTGCCTTTCTTAAAAACATTTTGACTATTACGTTTCGATCTGTTTATGGATTGGCATGCTTGTCTGTTTTTTCTCATCACCATAGTCTTGCTTGCTATAGCTTTATAATGTAAGTTTTAGTGTAGGTCCTGTAGGGTTTTTTTTGTTTGTTTGTTTTAAATCAAGGTTGTTTTGACTGTTCAGCATCTTTTGCTTTGCTTTCTTTTCTTTTTCTTTCTTTTTTTTTTTTTCTTTTTTTGTGGTACTGGGGATTGGAACCAAGGGCCTTGTGCATGCTAGATAAACACTTAACCATTAGCTACATCCCCAGTCCCCATCTTTTGCTTTTCCATATAATTATATAATGAGTTTTTCAGTTTCTTTTTAAAAATACCTTCTATAGGTCTGAAATATGAGCAGATTTTTGTGATTTTCACTTTAGTGGTGTTGTGCATATTTTTTTATTTTTATGTTAATGTATTTTATGATTGGAGGGTGGTTGGCAGTCCAAGGGTTTTGAAATCAGGGTCACGTGCTTGCTTGGTAGGCACTCTACCACTTGAACCTTGCCCCCAGTTCTTTTTGCTTTAGTTATTTGTGGGATAGCATCTCACATTTATACCCACACCTACCTGGACCCTCCCATTTACACTTCTCTCATAGCTAGGATGACAGGTGCATACCACCACACCCAATATTTATGGGTTGAGATGGGAGGGTCTGACTATTTGCCCCCACTGGTCTTGAACTGAGATTCTCCTGTTCTCCACCTCCCACATAGCTAGGATTTACAGGCATTAGCCACCATGCCCAGACATAGCACTATGTTTTTATAAATGATAGTGTTTTTTAGTTTCATTTTCCAGTTCTTGGCTAGTACAGTCATACCTGGAAATATGTAGGTTTGGTTCCAGAGCACTGTAACAAAGCACATACAGCAATCACAGAATTTTTTTGTTTTCCATTGCATATAAAAGTTATGTTTATGCTGTACTGTAGTCTATTAATTGTATAATAGCATTATATCTAAGAAAGCAGTATACATATCTTAATTAAAACCCAGCCTAGGGAGAAATGAACCAAGCCTTGTATGCACATATGAATAATAAAAGAAAAATGAAAAAAAAAAAAAAACCCAGCCTAGCGTTGAGCTAGGTTGACACACACCTGTAATCCTAGTTCCTGGGAGGCTGAGGTAGGAGGATTGTTAGTTCAAGGGCAGCCTGGGCTTCATAGCAAGACCCTGTCTCAGAAAACAAAAACAAGAAAATACACTTTATCACTAAAAAATACCAACCATCACCTGAGCTGTTAGAAAAATAGCACTGGCAGACTTGTTCAACTCAGGATTACAATAAACCTTCAATTTTTAAAAAACACTGTGAACCAAATAAAGTGAAAAATACAGTAAGATATGCTTGTATATAGATGTACAACAGATTTTTGTATCTTGATTTTGTCCCCTGTGACATTTACTTAGTGGTTTTCTTGTGGGTTTGTTTTATTTCTTCCTTTCCAGTCTTTATGCGATTGATTGATTGATTGATTGATTGTTGGGTTGCACTGTCCAGGAGAAAATCTTTAGTGCAGTATTGAATAGAAGTAGTGAACATGAGGGTACATTTCTTGTTGCTGATCATAGGGAAAAGGCATTCAGTATTTTACTCTTGTATAATGTTAACGATAGGTGTTTCATAAATGCCTTTCATCAGCTTAACATTATTTCTTAGGTTTTTTTGTTTTAATTTGTTTTGGTGATAACTGGGGATTGAACCTAGGCCTTGTACTTTCTAGGCAATTTCTATTTGATTCATGACCCCAGCCTGTTTGGTTTTTAGGGCTTTCTTTGGTTTTTTGGTGGTACTGTAGTTTGAACTCAGGACCACACACTTGCTAGGCCCTACCACTTAAGAAATACTCACAGATCTTGTGGGGCTTTTTTGTTTTGTTTTGTTTTTTTCCTGTTGTTGTTTTGAGAACATTTCACTATATAGTGCTGATCTTCAACTCATGGTCCTTCTGCCTCCACCTCTTGAGTTCTGGGATTACTACAGGTGTGTAACCACTATGCCCAGCCTGTTTTTACACTTCTCAATTCCAGAGCTTCTGTTTTGTTCTTTTCTTTTTTTTCTTTAAGAATTCAGTTAAATATGTATTGAACAAATGCAGAATGAATGAACTAAGGGGTTTGAATCTGAAGGTACAAATAAAAAACTTCAAATATTCAGAAGGCTGTCACACACATAAAGAATGAAAGATGTGTTCAGCATGTCTTCAAAAGGCAGTACTTAAACCAAGGGATAAAAATAAGCAACCAACAGGCTAGAGGAGAATTGTACAAAGTGTTACCACTTATTGTAATAGCTTAATGCATTCCTTGCTTCACTTTTCTCTTCTTCTGAAAGGCACATTAGAGCTCACTACTTCTCATGATCTTCTTAAATAGCGTTTCATCACAGGCCTTCTATTGCCAGCAAGGGATGCAATCATACCACTGGAAAAATCTAATGGTAGCAAGCCTGTTTACTCAGGAACCGGCCTATTTCTTCCTCAGCTATGTTTCCATATTCTACCTTAATGATTCTTTGGAGGTGAGGAAAAAAGAAGCACATTCTCAAAAGGGTGAATCACAATACTGGCAGTTAAGGTATGGTCCCTAGTTCGGTAGTCCTCACCCAAGTGCATCAATTAGTAATGTGGATAGGGATGTGTGTTAGGCAGGGAGAATACAGCTAACACCTCTGTTCCATGTGAAGTAGAATAGCTTATTGTATGAATTACTTGGAAATATTAACTATCTTCATAATACTCATTGACTCCAACCAAATTGCTAAATGGCAGAAAATGAGAACTGCTTCAACAGTTATTCAGCATGATATTTAAGGACAAAATACATATACCATATTGTATATTATACATGTATTTTATCATATATTCAATAGGAATGCTGAGGTGCTCACTCCATCCAGTAAATTGAAAATAAAACTACATTTCTGTATTTGTCAGTATACAGGATTCTGAAGGTGGATCTTGAACTCAGAATGATATATCAGTTTTCAAGGAAAGCCACATAATTGGTCAGCCTGGGCAACTCCTATTCATTGGGGATTGGTGGAAGTAGGGCAGGCTCTAATAAGATGATAAACCCATTGAAGGAAACATTGGCCCTACAAATGGCTTCCTGGGCAGAACCATTCTTGTCATGGAGTCAGCTTGCCATCCTTGTTCCAATGTACTTTCATGGCCTCTTCTGTAGGAAGTCCGCCAAAGGCTACAAAATCATCCATAATTATTGAGGTGTATGCCTGAGAGAACAGGGTGAAGTTGCATCTCCTTGTTACATTTCTAAGTTCTTTCATGAGTGGCTGCACCATTGCTGGATGTTAATGGTTGAATAGATCCCAGGGACATTTATCTGCCAGATTTTTTGTCCTACTGACCAAATTCCCCCAAGTTCAGAATTTGTAAATTTTTATAGCAGGCAGGATCCTTTTCCAAAGAAATCTTGTATTATTCATGTCATTATTGAGCAAATATAAAGCTAAAAGCTGACTGTACACTGGGGTATAGCAAGTCCTCCAGGGCCTTGGGGTCCTGGTTCTTGCACTGATCCAGCAGCGTTTTGAAAATGAAGGCGCTTTCCCTCATCACTGCCACTGGCATCTTCATGGCCAGTCTCACCACTACGCTGACTGAACCCCAGATTCCTATTTTGTTCTTTTTATGACTTCTTTCTTTTTGTTGATACTCTGTATTTTGTTAGACATTATTCTCACCCTTTCCTTTAATTCTTTAGGTGTGGTTCCCTTTACTTCTTTGTCTAGTAAGTTCAAAGTGCAATGATAGCTGTATTCACTGCTTTATTTTGTATGTATGGCTCACTTTCTTGGTTCTTTGTATATCTTAAAATGTCAAAAACTAGACTTTTTTGGGGGATGGAACTAGGGTTTGAACTCAAGGCTTGACATTTGCAAAGCAGGTGCTCTGTGCTTGAACCAAACCTCCAGCACCAAAACTGGACATTTTTACATAATGTAATGTGCATGATGTGGCAACTCTGGAAATCTGATACAACCACCACCTACGGCTGCTTGTTTCAGTTGATTTTTGCTGTTGGTATTTGCTTAGTGTCTTTTTCTGATCTAATCCATAAAATTGGTGGTGTTTTTCTTGTGTGGCCACTGAAGTCTCTGCTTGGTTAGCTTAATGGTGGTTAAATATTTAACAGGGATTTCCTTAAATGTCTAAGACCTGTAACTGTCCCAGTCTTTGCTGATTGGCTGTCTGTGTTGCCACATGCCTTCAGCCCTCCATCAGCCACTGACAGCTCTGCTTCAGTCTTCACTTCTGCTTTGCAGAGCCTTATGGTCAGCCAGAGGTGTGAGTTTTTCATGACTTTCCTCAGGCACATGAATGGCCTTGCACACACACATAGCTTTCTAGGTTCTCAAGACTGTCAGAGCTTTTTCAAACACTTTACACTTTGGGAATGTCTCATTTTTTCTTTTAAGCATTTTGGTTTGGTCTTTTTTTGGTTCCAACTTGTTTTATCTATTATCTCAAACAGAAGAAAAGTTTATCAGTTGCTCTGTTTTTGACAAGCCTACCCCTTCTTCACTCCAGTCTGGCCAAATAAAGATAGCTTTGCAAATGGACTTTTCCAAAGAACCTCCTGAGAAGAGAAGTAGTGAAAGTTGTCGCAGAATAAGGCTTCGAAGAGCTCCATTATTATCCTTTCCTTTCGGGTAGCTTCCAGGCTACTGGTTTACACCATGACTGTAAGCTGTTCATTTTTAAGACTTCCAGAAAGCTTGAGGGAGAGAGAGAAAGTAAAGTTGAAATGTACAAAGCTCACCAGTCTTACCTATTTCTCTTGAATAATTGCTCCTAGATCTCTGCAAATTTGGTTAATTTCCAGAGTTCTTTAAAGATTAATGTTTAAAATTTTTGCTGGTTTTCATGTTGCTTTTATGGAGTAGAGTTTTTGGAAGTTCCTGTTACTCTACCATTATTGCTGACATTCTCTGTAGCATTTTAAGTACACTGTTCAGAGCTTTATGTAACTTATTAATTGTAAAAGTTTGCATGTAGTTTATGGTAATGTCAGAAGGAACATCTCACTTAAATTTTTTAAGTAATGAGTGCTGAAAATTTACCTGCTTTACCAATACTATTCTTAATTTTGGGTGGCCAGGGTGTAAAACTTTTTAAACAGAAGTGTGAACATTGACTTTACAACTGACCTTCAGCAAAGACAATGTTCAGTTTTTTTAAATTATTTTTTAGGGAACACCTGGCACTTACTTGACATCTCATAATCAGGCTTCTTATACTCAAGAAACAGCTAAGCCCTCAGTGGGGTCTATCTCTCTTGGACTGCCACGGCAGCAGGAATCTACCAAATCAGGTCAGTGACTTAGTGCCGTCATAATGCATCTGCATCTGTAGCATTATAGCTAGTATTTCAGTACTTAATCTCTTTGTATTTCTCTTGCTTTTATCCATAGCTACTTTGCCTTATATCAAGCAGGAAGAATTTTCTCCCCGAAGCCAAAACTCACAGCCTGAGGGTTTATTAGTCAGGGCCCAACATGAAGGTGTGGTCAGAGGTAAAGTTGTATGCAATTTGATGGATATAATATGCTTTTGCCCAGTAAACTTACTGAAGTAAGTCATCAATACAGTAAATGCTGAATTGTAAGTGGTAGACTTTGAATTCTAAGGTTAGGTGTTCTTTCCATGTAAAAATTTTACAACATTGAAATTTGAGGACGTAGCTTAATGGTAGAGTGCTTGTTTATCATGCATGCACAAGGTTTTGGGTTCCATCCCCAACACCAAGAAACCCTGAAGTTCCATATGTCATCAGCCCTTCTTAATCATTACAATATTATTTTAGACATGGACTTCAATAAAACAAAAAAAATTGTTCACTGCTTTTTTTTTCCTCCCTTCATTCTTCCACCAAGTAGGGAATATAGCCGGGAAAGGGGGGGGGGGAGCCACAAAGGTGAGCAGTGTAATCTGCTAATGGTTTTTGGTTTTTATTCAGGTACCACAGGAGCCATCCAAGAAGGAAGTATAACTCGGGGAACTCCAACCAGCAAAATTTCAGTGGAGAGCATACCATCCCTACGGGGCTCTATCACTCAGGTTAGAAGTCTCCAGAGCTTTTGCTATTCTAGCAATACAGTAGTGCTGTAGTTAAGTTGTTCACTGTTCTGGTTATGTTCTGGGTTATGGAATAGGGTCTCAGTGATAATAAATCCCAGATCTACCAATCATCTGTAGAAAAACATTAATTTTAGCCACAAACTGTGTTATCTATACTGTGGTTCACTGGAAAAAGTCAGTTATTTGCATAGTTTCAGAAGAAACATGCTACAGTTTATATAGCTCTCCACTGTCTTTGTCACAAAGCTTTTGACCATATGCTCAGTTTAAGTAGAAATTGAGAAGAAAATGATTAAGCATTATTTGCTTGCTTTTCCCCCATGAAAAGGTAATATGTAAGCTATCTTGTTAGAATCTAATGCTGAACAGGGATTGCAGATGATTATGACAAAAGGTCAAATATCTTTTCCCAGTTTGGGGCTAAATAATTTGCCAATTTTGATTAATGAAAGGCCTTTCTTTTCCTTACTTATATGTAATTTTTTACTTGAATATAAAACAGTACATAACTTTTTTATTACGTAAACATGGAAAACGGAAAAGCTCTATTTTGCAAAATCCTTAAAAACAGATACTCTTCTTTTTGCACATTGACACATATTTTTGCAATATTGCCTGTTTTTGTCTTGTTCCTGTTCCCTAGGACAGTGGTTCTCAAAGTGTGGGCTCCATATCAGTAGCATCAACATCACCTGGGAAGTTGTTAGACATTCTCGGGCCTTGCCCTAGATTTAGTGAAATCAAACCTTAGGGGTGGGTCAGCAATCTGTTTTTCTGAGCCTTCCATCAGTTCTGATCAGTCCTTGAAAACTAAGTGTGGTATATGCACCAAAGCATCAGTATCACTTATGACCTTGCTCGAGTAATGCAGAAATGCAGTGCTCACTCCAGACCTTATGAATTAGAATCACTATTTTAACAAGATTCTCAAGTGATTCTTCCCGGAGACATGGCTTGTATGACATACATGATCTAGAAAGTTACATACTAGCTCTTCAATTCTCTTCTTACATATTTGGCCAAAGAATGCATTCCATTCTCAGAGCAATTTACACTTTAATAGGGATAGAAATAAAATAAATGGGGCCTAGCTGTATTATTTCTCTTCATACTTTTTATCACTTCAGTATCCAAACTTTGAGTAGAAGATAGTAAGAACTGGTTTAAATGAGGCTAAGTTTTATCTGTTTATTTTTAAATCTGTCCATTTGACATGAACATTTCTAGAATGGGTGTTAAGGATTTCCAGATGTGTTTCCTACTGAGTTCACTTTACGATTAAATGAGTTAAATGTATTGGTCTTGTCATTCTTCCTGCTTAAGCATGTGATTTCAGACCATGCTCACTAGAGCTTTAGGGGTCCTCAGCATTTATTGGAGATCCTGCGTGAGTGAGTGGGTAGGTCTAGGCCTCTACTTTTCAACCCAAGTTGCTCACTTCTGCAAAGCGTTCTACATAAAAGGTTCCATAAACAGTTTCCCTTGAAGGAAGGGCTTGCTGCTTAAAGTAAGGGTATAAAGACCTGCACCCACTGACAACCTAGAATACTAATGATGAAAATTCAGATGATGTGACCTAAACCAAATCATTATCACAAAAAAAAGGCACCTGATATTTTTTGATGTCCAAAGGCCCAATCCAGCAGACAATTTGATATTTGCAAGTTCTTTTTTCCTCTTATCACCATATGGAAGTTGTAGTACTCTAAATTTAAAATGTAATTTATTCTTATTTTTATTAGAAATTTTATAAAAATTTTTTATTACATTTGCACAATTTTAGGCCTAAGCCATACGTCTTTTCTAAGAATTAAGTTGCTCAGTAGACATTAGGCTTCAAGGTGGGGAACAAAGCTGATTCACCTCTTATACCTATCATTTTTAAGAGGATTTCTGTGACTAGGTTCAAGGATGAAGGTATAGCATTTCTTTGTGTTTATGAAAATTTAATGTCTGGTTCCTTCTCATGTGCTGCGCTTTCTTTAAAGATATGGATAGTTCTAACTCTCAGAGTGGTAGGTTAAATTTTCTGAGTATCTTGTGCCTTCTCTAAGCTTGAATGACTCTTCGGGTGCTTGTGTTTGATTTGATGGCAGGGGACCCCAGCTCTCCCCCAGGCTGGTATACCAACTGATGCTTTGGTGAAGGGATCCATTTCCAGGATGCCCATTGAAGAGAGTAGTCCTGAGAAAGGCAGAGAGGAAGCTGCATCCAAAGGCCATGTTATTTATGAAGGCAAAAGTGGACATATCTTATCATATGATAGTAAGTATTGTGTATATTCACTGATGCTTATCTTCATATGTGTAACTGGAGACATCAATTCTGTCTTTCTTAGATCTTATTGTAGGTAGGAAAAGTGTCTTAGTTTAGCTTTAATGGAATTACTTTTATTTTAATGGGATTCCTATTTTATGAATTAGGGAGTAGATAATTTGATAATCATGGAATGAAAATTGAATTTAAATTCTCCTTAATACAATTTTTTGTTTTGGTGGTACTGGGATTTGAACACATGGCTACAGTAGAATAGGCAGGCACTCTACTGCTTGAGCCACACTTCCAGTCCTCCTCAGTAAAACTTTTAATGTCTGTCTATGTATGTAAACTTTCTTTAGATGCATTCTCAAGTTACATTTTCCCTGTAATAGTGTTTTATGAGAATGACTCAAATGTGATATGTTAGCCAAGAGACTAACTGAGCTTAAGTTCTCACTTGCCACCATCTTTGTGACTTAGGAGTATTCATTTGCTATGCTTTATCTTTCTTTTCAATAGACTTTTTTTTGGAGGGAGGATGGTACTCTGGTTTGAACTCAGGGCATTGTGCTTGCCAGGCAGGTCCTCAGCCACTTAAACCATACCCCCAGCCCTATCTTTCTCTCAAAACACAAAGAAATAAAGTATGTCCAGTAGTAACTGATGCTGCAAAATGCATGGTAGCCTTCTTCCTTCCTCCTTTCTTGTTTTAGCACCTAACCTATTTCGATTATCATTTTATTTCTGGGGCAAAGAAATTAAATGGACATTGCTCATTCCAAAAATCTAAACATCTTTCTGATGTGCCCCTTTTCTTTAGACATTCATCAAATCACTAAGTTATTTCTGTTCAATTTCGTGAAGTCTTTTAGAAGCCATCTAATTCTGTAGTCTTTCCTGCCACCATCATCTTTTGTGTGCACAACTCAGTGCTTTATATCATGTTGCTTCCTCCTTGACTCTCATTGCCTTGAAGATAACTGCAAGCCCTCTCCCTTGGCTCCATCACCCCTCTGTGTTCTGCTTCTTGCTTACACCATCAGATTGTTTGCTTCTCACTTTTATACTCTGCCTCCCTGCATTCCCCGCCCTGCATTCTCCCAAACTCCACCCTCCATGTCACCCCCATCCCCACCCTGCGCCTTACACACACTCTCACAACACTGAAGTTCTTGTACCATACTCTTGTCCTGAGGTCTTCTGCTCACCATCCCTTCTGCCTAGTTTTCCTCCCTTTACCTTTGACTTACTCATCCTTCAGTTCTCAGCTTATACATTATTTCTTCTAGGCAGTCTTTCCTGATTCTGGAAGTGTCAGGCTTCCCTCCCAACATTATCATAAAATATTTACTTCTTTCATAATACTTATCACAGTGGACAGTAAGGGCCTATTAATTTGTCTGCATTTGCCACTGTTAAGTGAGTTTCATGAGGGAGGCGCTTAATTCATTAACGTTTTCTGCAAGTCTAGCTTATGCCTGGCACACAGGCATAGTATATTAAAAAAAATATCAAAATGAATGAAAGCATTTTCATGTATGTCATCTACACAGATACAAATTATAGGCTAGAATAAGTTATTTTTATAAGAGACTAAAATTAAGATGACTTATTTACTGTACGTTGTAGGCCTTGGGCTCTGTATAATTCTTGTTTCTGTATTCTGCAGATATTAAGAATGTCCGAGAAGGGACCAGGAGTCCAAGAACAGCTCATGAAATCAGTTTAAAACGAAGCTATGAATCAGTGGAAGGAAATATGAAGCAAGGAATGTCAATGAGGGACTCTCCTGTGTCAGCACCATTAGAGGGTAGAGTGTTATTTCCAAAATGTCACTTAGATTCAATTTTTATAATAAGTTTGTATTGTTGCATTAAATTGTGTTCAATCTCTGTTGTTTCTACCTGCAATTTATAGTAATATAATTTAAATTTTATGTTATCAAATCTATATAAATCAGGTGGCACTTGACATTGAGGGAAGTAAAAATTGAATGTAATTAATCATAACAGGTAATTATTAAAATGCTCTTATTTAAATGCTTATGTCACTTGTTTCTGTTCCAGTGAGTTTAAGAATGTAAAATTTATTTTGAAAACTTTTTTCAATTGCAAGGCAGATAAAGAGCAAAGACATGAATTTGAAGTGTAGCTTCATCCTTTCCTAGTGGATTTCTCTGTGCTTGTTTCTTTCTCTAGAAATTAGAGATTGTACTCACCATTGTGTGAGGATTAGAGACTTTTGTCCAACCTGGTGCTAATCATGTGATATGCATTCAGTAAATGATCTCTATGGTTTAGTTTAGTTTTGTTAATGACTTACCTTCTTGAAATCTTAGCCTGTTTCAACTAATTTTAATGAAGGTGAAATAACCAAAAGCAAGCTAAATCCTATGCAATTTTCTAAGAATTGGATTTTCTCTATTTAAAAAAAAACAAAAACCCTCATTTACCTTTTCTTTAGGGTAAATATGTATGGTTAGTTCCAGACTTTGATTCATGTTTATCAGCAATATAATGTAAAACTTTTAAATTATAAATAGAGGTTATTTATAATTCTTTCATTGAGATTTGCTTGTTTAATTTATTTTCTCTATTTTTTGTGATATCTGTACTTCACATTTTCCCAGGTATATTTCAAAGTTAAGCAGTGATTCCCAGTCTTACATGTTCTTTACCCTTGATAAAGAGGTGTTGAGATTTTAGATTTAGCTTTGAAGGTATATTTCTTCTGTTTTTTGGGTTTTTTTTTTTCTTCTCGGTACTGGGGATTGAACCCAGGGCTTCCAAACATGTTAGGCAACTGCTCTACCACTTGAGCCATGCCCCAGCCCTTTCCTTCTGTTTTGACCTATAATTTGGTGTTTTTCAGGGCCATATTGTATTTAGGAAAATGTTTACAAAGAACTATGTGATGTCATTGGAAATTTCTGATTTTTATTTTTTTCCCATCTTGTTTTTCTGGATCGTTTACAAATTAAAATGGGACATCCTTTCCTCCATTGAACTTTTTTCAAAAATATATACTCGTAGGATGCTGTTTAGTACATGTGAATGGACGTGTACATTTTGTTTAATAGTTGCATTTCTTTCTTGTTTTGAAAGGGCTGATATGCCGAGCATTACCCAGAGGAAGCCCTCATTCTGACCTCAAAGAAAGAACTGTGCTCTCTGGCTCCATAATGCAGGGTAAACTTTCTGCTGATTTTTTTTTACTTATAACTGCCTCACTGATAAAGTAATTTGACATCAATTTTACAGAATACGACAGAATATGAAACCTGTCTTTCAATGTATTTTCCCTTTTGAAATATTTAATATTAAATCTTGATTATAACTCGTCGATCTCTGAACTATGTAGTTTATCAGAAGATGATAGTTGCATAATCTTTTAACATTGAGATATTGTTACTGTGTAACATCCATTCTGTGATTGTATATATCTTGAACAACCCCAGTCATCCCATGACTGATACTTGAGAACCTATTACAAATAGAGTTGATTATAAACTGCAAGGCATTTTTTAAATTATAGCAAAATATCATATCAAAATTTACTATTTTAACCTTGTATGTATGTATGTATGTATTTATTGTCATTGGGGTTTATACTCAGAACCTGCACTTGATAGGCAGGCACTCTGTCACTTGAACCATGCCCCCAGTCAGTTTTGCTTTAGTTATTTCTGGGATGGGTCTCACATTTATGCCCAAGTCTGTCTTGAGTGAGATACCCCTATTTACGCCTCCCACATAGCCAGTAATGACAGGCAGATGGCAACATGCCTGACTGTTTTAATCGTTTTTAATCATACCGTTCATGGCATTGTTTTGCAACCATCGGTATTAGTTTAGTAAGTATGTTCCTGAATTCTTTTTAAAGGCACACCAAGAGCAACACCTGAAAGCTTTGAAGATGGCCTTAAATATCCTAAACAGATTAAAAGAGAAAGTCCTCCCATCCGAGCATTTGAAGGTGCCATTACCAAAGGAAAACCATATGATGGCATCACCACCATCAAAGAAATGGGCCGTTCCATCCATGAAATCCCACGGCAAGATATTTTAACTCAGGAAAGCCGAAAAACTCCAGAAGTGGTACAGAACACAAGGCCAATAATTGAAGGTTCCATTTCCCAGGTAACTAGATCGTGACTCTTCTGTCAATAGTTCTACTTCAGATCGACATTTATGAAACATTTTTCAAAAGTATGATTTAACAGTTCAAAGCAATTCTTATGTCATACCTTTTGGAAGTAAGTGACAATGTTTACGTACTTTTCACCATGGGTTTTTCTTGTGTCCCTAGTGAGGCTTGAGTAATGTGGGAAAGTGTTGGTTCATTGGTTGGGATTGTGATGTCCACAGAGACCGTAAATGTCACCACAGCAAACTAACTTCCATGGGCCAGACATAGACCCAAGATAGAACAATATCCAAATGGCTTGGCTACCCGTAATGTTTGTTTCTTTCTCTTTAGGGCACACCAATAAAGTATGACAGCAACTCAGGTCAATCTGCCATCAAACACAATGTCAAATCCTTGATCACTGGGCCTAGCAAACTACCCCGTGGAATGCCTCCACTGGAAATTGTAGCAGAGAACATAAAAGTGGTAGAACGGGGAAAATATGAGGACATGAAAGCAGGCGAGCCAGTGCGTTCCCGGCACACATCGGTGGTGAGCTCTGGCCCCTCCGTTCTCAGGTCTACACTTCATGAAGCTCCCAAAGCACAGCTGAGTCCAGGAATTTATGATGACTCCAGTGCTCGCAGGACTCCTGTGAGTTATCAAAACACCATATCTAGAGGCTCACCCATGATGAACAGAACTTCTGATGGTATGTTACTTTTGTTGCCTGGTATGATCATTTTTACTATACTTTCTCACCTTTGGCAAATAGGAAATAATCAGATAGGTAGCTTTATAGATTATCACAAGATCTTGAGACTGTGCATGAAACTAGGGCCATAGAGTGTACAAAATTAGCCATAATTTTAGGCAAAGTACCTAACTGTTTAAATTCAGCACAGGTATGATGTCTAGAAATGCCCAGCGTAAGCATATTTTTTTTTAATGGATTTTTAGCCTATCATGTAAGGTTTTCTGAAAGTCCGTTTTGGCACTTGTTTCTCCAGGTGGTAGATGAAAGTTTAGGCTCTAGAGCAAAACTTCTTAGGCTTGAATTAAACTTACACAAGTTACTTTTCTGTGCCTTGGTTTCCTCATCTATAAAATGGTAACGTACTACTAAGACCTACCTGGATTCTAGTAAAATAAAATGAGATAGTGCACTAGCTGGGCATGTTGCCACCTGTAATAATAGCCAGCGCTTGGGAGGCTGAGGCAGGAGGATCATGGGTTTAAGGCCAGACTGGGCTACATAGTGAAACCCTGTCTCAAAGATGATTTAGCGCACTTAAGGAACTTACCATAGATTCTAGCATATACCACTCAATAATTATCAACTCTTATCATCATCACAACCCCATGTTGCTGTGAACTACATCATCACTAAGGTGAGAGGGTTTAATTTTTTTTTTAAACTAGGTGGTCCCTGAAATAGTCAAAGACCCTTAAAAATTCATCTTATTTTTAATTTCATTATAATACATATTATATTGAGGGGTCAACAGGTGAGGTCCTGGGCTGGTAGGTGAATTGTAAAGGTGAAAAAGGGAAGAGAGGAGTAACACGGGGAGGAAGGAAGGGTGTGCTCAGTTTGGGTATGGGTAGGGGTATGAATCCAAATCTGTTTGCTCTAGTTTGGACTGAGAATTGCCCTCCAGTAGGAAAAGGCAACCACAATTGAACAAATTGGGCTTTGAAGGGAATCTGATAAACCAGTGTAGTTTAGAGGTGGTTTTTTTGGCTTTCTTTTTTTTTTTTATTTATATGTACATACAATGTTTAGGTCATTTCTTCCCTGTCCCCCCACCCCCTCCCTTACCAGCCACCCTACCCACTTCCTCTCCCCCCAAACCCTCTCAGTACCCAGCAGAAACTATTTTGCCCTTATCTCTAATTTTGTTGAAGAGAGAGTATAAGCAATAATAGGAAGGAACTAGGGTTTTTGCTAGTTGAAATAAGGATAGCTATACAGGAGTTGACTCACACTGATTTCCTGTGCCTGTGTGTACTTCTAGGTTAATTCTTCTTGAACTAACCTTTTCTCTAGTTCCTGGTCCCCTTCTCCTATTGGCCTCAGTTGCTTTTAAGGTATCTGCTTTAGTTTCTCTGCATTGAGGGTAACAAATACTATCTAGTTTTTTAGGTGTCTTACCTATCCTCATATCTCCCTTGTATGCTCTCACTTTTATCTTGTGATCAAAATCCAATCCCATTGTTGTGTTTGCCCTTGATCTAATGTCCACATATGAGGGAGAACATAGGATTTTTGGTCTTTTGGGCCAGGCTAACCTCACTCAGAATGATGTTCTCCAATTCCATCCACTTACCAGCAAATGATAACATTTCATTCTTCTTCATGGCTGCATAAAATTCCATTGTGTATAGATACCACATTTTCTTGATCCATTCATCAGTAGTGGGGCATTTTGGCTGTTTCCATAACTTGGCTATTGTGAATAGTGCCACAATAAACATGGGTGTGCAAGTGCCTCTGGAGTAACCTGTGTCACATTCTTTTGTGTATATTCCCCAAGAGTGTTATTGCTGGATCATATGGTAGATCTATGTTTAGATTTTTAAGAAGCCTCAAAATTTTTTTCCAGAGTGGTTGTACTATTTGCAGTCCCACCAGCGGTGTACAAGGGTTCGTTCCTTTTTCCCTGCATCCTCGCCAACACCTGTTGTTAGTGGTGTTGCTAATGATGGCTATTCTAACAGGGGTGAGGTGGAATCTTAGTGTGGTTTTAATTTGCATTTCCTTTATTGCTAGAGATGGTGAGCATTTTTTCATGTGTGGCTTTCTTCTTTTACTTTGGTGGTGCTAGAGATTGAACTCAGAGCCTCTCATTTGCTAGGTCGGCGCTCTACCACCGACCTAGCCCCACCAGCCCTTTTTGCATTGGTTATCTTGAGATATTTATGCCTGGGTCAGTCTGGACCATGATCCTCTTCTTTGTTCTTCCCTGCACAACTGGGATGACAGGTGTGTGCACTATCATACCCAGCCATTTGTTGAGATGATGTCTCATAAACTTTGCCTGGGCTGGCCTCAAATAGTGAAACTCCTGATCTCTGCCTCCCAAGTAGGATTATAAGTGTGAGCCACCACATCCAGCTATTTCTTAGTTTTGATAGGCAGAGTTATTGGGTGATGGCCAAGTTTGTATTATCAAAATTTTAGTATTAAGATGGTGGTGATGGTTGCATGACATCATAGGTATATTTAATGCCACTGAATTGTATCCTTTAAAATGGTTAAAGGGCCCTGGGTTCAAGCTTCAGCACCAGAAAAATAAATGAAATGGCTAAAATGATACATTTTGTGTTACGTATGTTTTACCACAAGGTGATTTCTGTCAAGTGTTTGGATATGATAGGCATCTGTGGGTAATATGATTTATAAGAGAGAATCTGGAGTAGGGAAGAGAGTGGAGGATGTTGGTGAGGTAATGGGAAAGTCACTATAGAAGAGCAGAGCAAAGAGAAAACGAGTGTAACTTGTGATCGACAAGTAAGGAGCTAGGGAACACAGGCAAAGGAGGAACTTGAGATTTGCTGCCTGTGGGGCCAAAAGAATTTAAAATGTTAATGATACAGAAAATAACACCATTCATAATGGGATTTAGCAAGTAGTGTACTTGATTAACTTCACAGTCTTAGCACAAAGTGGTACTGTACTGATGCTGTGCTCCAAAAGGTAGAAATCTTCAAATCTCAAGGTTTCTACTTGGTTTTACAGTTGTGTATTTTATAAGATTAAGCTTAAAAGTTGGTGGTGGAGGGAGAAGATCAAAATATTTTATGAGTACAGCCTGCATTTGATGATACTTTGCAAGTTTTCTTAAGAATTTGTGGCATTGCCCCTTTTTTTCCAGTTACAGTTTCTTCTAGCAAGTCTACGAGTCATGAAAGGAAGTCAACACTGACCCCAACCCAGAGAGAAAATATATCAGCCAAGTCTCCAGTGCCTGGGGTGGATCCTGTTGTGAGCCACAGCCCATTTGATCCCCACCACAGGGGCAGTGCTGCAGGAGAGGTTTATCGGAGTCACCTTCCCGCGCACTTGGATCCAGCCATGCCCTTTCACAGGGCTCTAGATCCTGGTAAGCATTACGTGTAGTGACAGTCTATGGCAAAGAAATGATAAGCTTTTTTAAAAATAGTACGGTGTGCAGAAAATTGTACATATCATTAATGTACAGGTAAATGAAATTTTAACACCCATGTTACCAGCACCCAAATAAAGAAATAAAATAAATATTACATCATGTAATTAAAAGTAATAGATATCTGAAAAGCCTTTTTATTTGATGGAATTGGTGAAGCTGATTGAATAAGAAGGTTAATATGAAGAAGTATTTTTAAATGACAGGCATATCTTAAATATGTTAATTTACAGCATAGACATTACCAGTCTTCTGCATGAATGCCAAGGGAATTTTTTAAACTATTGATTAGAAATAGAAATTTTTTTAGGTCTTTCTAATATAAAAGAAATCATATTTCAGGCCTGACTTTGTTTGTTTAAATGAAGCTAGAATTTAAAGACAATTTCAGGTAATCCAAATGCAAAATCCTTGTAGATTTCTTTTTTAGTTCTTTAAAATTGTGCAGTCCACACCTGATTCACTTTCTTTAGAGTCTTTCCAAAGCCTCCAACTTAGCTTTCAAAGAAATAACTCTTCATTTTGTTTTCACTGAATTACAGGCTATTTTTTGGATGATACTGGGGTTTGATCTTATGGCCTCATGCTTGCTAGGTAGGCGCTGTACCACTTAAGTCACTCTGCCAGCCCATAAGTTACATAATTTAGTAATAAGTACAGCTGGAAGAAACTTGTGAGCACACATCACTGATATTGGTAGACATGCTTCTGGTAGGTGTGTAAGGGTGCAGGTTACTAGAAAGCAGTCTGCTGGGTCCTGTTTTATGCTGTGAGAGGGGAGAAGCTGTCCCACCACAGGTGGGATCAGAGCCTCTACCAGGCTTGCAGAGACCCCTGCAGGATTGGCTCTTCCTTGTCCTCCTAGGAACCTAGTCCTTGCTCCTCTTTGCTGCTGCCAGCTGAGCCTCTCCTCTGGCCTAAATTCATTACTTGCTACATGCTTTGAGTTAAAACTGGAATATAGAATACTTGTGCTTCACCTTGGTTCTTAGGGTAATACTTTTTATTAAAATACTTGAAAAGCTAAGAATTCTAAGAGTCAGTCGCATTTCATACTAGCAAAGAAATTGTAGGAAGTACCTTATCTGAAAACTCTGTCAGGGCCAGCAGATGATTTTCTCTTGAAAATACTCAGTTTCAGAGGAATCTAAGAGGCCATAAAACAACTTATGATGGGTTTTTTCAATTAGATTTTCAACTTTCGTAATAGTGTCCAAGTGATAGGTAGGCAAGTCAGTGGAAACTGGACTTCACATTGTGAATTTGGACCTTTTCCAGGCTAGAAATGTGTGGTACCTATTCTCTTTCATGTTGCTAGGTGGCAGCAGTGAGCTATAGCTCCTGTCAGCCTTGCAATCATGAGAGGAAGCAACTAATACTGTGCAGCATGCTGTGTTGCTAAGCTAGTATGCTCAGATTAAGTACATTAAAGGCATTTTCAAGTTACACTTTCAACTTACAGTGGGTTTATTGAGACGAAACCTCATTGTAAGTCAAGGAACATATGCACTTAGGAGACTGTCTCCCAGACTGAGGTGAATAGTCAGCTGACAAATTCAACTTGGCTTGGAGTTGTGGATAAAAAGGAAGCACTTGTACCAGGAAATGTATCAGTGATTTTCCTAGGGAGAACATGTACATATAAGGTAATCCCCTCAAATTCTCAGACAGAATTGTTTAGCATTTCTGTTTACTGTCTGTCATAGTCCTTCATTTTGCACAGTTCCATTTGCTTGTCGTTTTGGGTCTGAGCTGTATAATAAATGCTTTAAGGATGCAGACATTACCTTCTACTTCTTACCATCTTGCATTTCTTTGTACCATCTCATGTCATGCTGTAACTAAACGGTTGCCAAACAATAGCATGCGGGACAAATCCTGCTGCCACCTGTTTCTGTAAATAAAATTTTATTAGACTGGGCACCGTGGCTCAAGCCTGAAATCTGAAGGAGGCAGGAATCAGGAGGATCATATTTTGAGGTCAGCCCAGGCAAAAAAGTTCATGAGCCCTCATCTCAACCAATAAAAGCTGGACATAGGGGCATGCACCTAACATCTCAGCTACTAGGAAAGTATAAATAGGATGATCGCTGTCAAGGCTAGCCTAGTCATAAAGCAAGACCCTATCTGAAGATTAACCAAAGCAAAAAGGGCTGGGGGTGTGGTTCAAGGGGTAGAGTGCCTGCCTAGCACGTGAAGGCCCTGAGTACCCCAGTATTAACCAAATTAATTAAATTTTATTAGAGCAGGCCTAATACAGGCCTATACCTGTAATCACAGCTACTTGGAAGGTGGAGGTAGGAGGATCACAGTTTGAGGCCGATCCAGGCAAAAGCTAGTGAGACCTTATCTCAAAAGCAAATGTAGAGGGCTGGTGGAATGGCTCAAGTGGTAGAATATCTACCTAGTAAGTGTGAGGCCCTGAGTTCAAACCCCAGTACTGCCAAAAAAAAAAAGCAAATTTAGTGTGGTGACTGCATTTGTAATCCCATCTACTCTAGAGGTGGAGGTAGGAGTATCTTGGTCCAAAACCAGCCTGGGACAAAAACTGGAGACTATCTGAAAAGCAAAAAGACTCAAGTGGTAGAGCACATACCTAGCCAAATGAGAGACCCTGAGCTCAAAACCCCAGTAAGCTCCCTTCCCCCAATTTTTTTTATTAGCACATATCCATGCCCAAGTGTTCATTGTTTGGTAGCTTCCTATCTCCTTCAGTCAGAGTGGACGAATACTATGTGGCCCACACAGCCTAAAACATTTATCATCTGACTCTTTATAGAAAGTTTGGTAATCTTTGTTCCAATCACATGCACTAATTAAATGCTTGTAGACTAATCATTTTTACCACTAAGAAAATAAAATTGCCATGTCACAAGGTGTTTTCACATACATTTCCATTTGATTGTACTGATATTACATTGATAATACAACTCTTGGATACTTTAGGTAAAACATAATAAAGTTTCATGTCAAAATTGAAAATGAAAATACTAAGAAAATTTTAGCTACCGTTTTCCTTTTTCATTACATCTCAGACATTAGAATGAATTAGAATTTGTACAACTAATATATCAAGGTCTAAAATGAGTCCACCATACTCTCTGGAGCCTAGTGAAAACTGCATGTAGACTAGCTTAGCAGATTTTTTTCTCTCACCATTTCTGTGGGTGATGTTTAGCAAATGAACTTCACTCAGGACAAAACTCAATGCCTTTCTTTCCTTCTCTCACTCAGCAGCTGCTGCTTACCTGTTTCAGAGACAGCTTTCACCAACTCCAGGCTACCCAAGTCAGTACCAGCTATACGCAATGGAGAACACAAGACAGACAATCCTAAATGATTACATTACTTCACAGCAGATGCAAGTAAACTTGCGCCCTGATGTAGCCAGAGGACTCTCCCCACGAGAGCAGCCACTGGGTCTCCCGTACCCAACAACAAGAGGTGTGTGTCTTTGCAGTTTAGATTTTGTAGAGTTTGTCACGTTTACTCGATAACAGATACTTGTTAAGTGAATGATGGAAAGACAGAAGTCTGTATCCTGTCCATAGACTTTAGTCCTTGAAAAAGCAAGCAAAGTAATGTATCAAGATGAAGTGTTTCAGTGAACACTAAAATAACCAATCCAAATTATTGTGTCGCGTATTTGAAATCAATGTTTCCCAGTTTGTTGTCTCTCAGTATTCAATATCCTTCTCTAGATTTAAAAAAGGTCTTAACAAGTAATGATGATCTTAAACATTTTCATTTATATTGTGTACAAATTATCATTGCATTATAGTAACAAAATCCAGAAATCCATGTATAGTTCTATACTTTTACAGTAATGCTTAACATAAATTGTATTTGTCTTTTGGATAGGAATCATTGACCTGACCAATATGCCTCCAACAATTTTAGTGCCTCATCCAGGAGGAACAAGCACTCCTCCCATGGACAGAATCACTTATATTCCTGGTACACAGATTACTTTCCCTCCCAGGCCATACAACTCTGCTTCTATGTCTCCAGGTAAGATGCTGCAGTCCCAACACCTTTCTAATAGGACTTTCATGTTTGAGATATTAAGACCTCTTAACACCTCTTAAGGTGCTTTGGGCAGTCTTTTTCCCACTTAAACATTTGTCAATAGTTCCTATGTGCCATTTGCTACTAGATACTCTAGAAATACCCTAAAAGTTATTAATTCTCCAGCTACCCAAGACGCTTAAGTAAAACAAACTTCCTATATTCCAAATTTGGAGTTTTTTTAAAAAAAGTTTCAATCGCTTACAAATTTAAAAATTGTACCCGATAGGTTGACATTTTGGTCTTTTAAGTTGTAGATTTGTGTGTTTCACAGGACATCCAACACACCTTGCAGCAGCTGCAACTGCTGAGAGGGAGCGGGAGAGAGAGAGGGAAAAGGAGCGAGAACGGGAGCGGGAACGGGAACGGATTGCGGCTTCTTCAGACCTCTACCTGAGGCCAGGTCAGTGAAAGACTCTGCTCCTCCTCCCAGGGACAGGTCTTGATAATCTCTTGTGGTGAGGCATTATGCTCAATGTTGTGGGGGCAAAGAAGAATTCTAAGTTGTAAAGTCCATTACAGGCCTCAAGTGAAAGTGTTGTAGAAGTTGAAATGAACTTTCCATGATGAAGGTGTCTATTTGATTTGGCCCAAGAACATGGGCGTGAAGGCATGGGGCATAGAACTCTTAAAGCTGAAAGAGTGGAACAGAAAAAGGCGCTAGGCAGGAAGGTATTGCTAAACTCCAGCTTCAAGGGGGAAGAGAGGATATGGTTAGAAGGTTGTATAACATCTTGAATACAGTGCTTACAATAAAGTGCTGCTATTCTGTTCAGGAGGCAGATGACATGATCAGAAGGACATTTTCATAGAGTGATGTGAGATAGCTTAGAGCCACGAAGGTGGGCTTGGACTGTTGCCGGTAGGCCAGTCAGACTATGTCAGTAGTTCATGTGTATGCTAATGGTGACCTGAAATATTTTGACACAGGAAATGACCAGGAAAGAGCTGCTAGAAAGAATGTGAGAGTATCCAAGACACTTGATAATAACTAGATAGGAGAAAGGAGGAAGAGAGGAGAAACAAGATTGGCCTGCAATTTATGATAAAGCATGAGGCAAGTGTAGTTCACGCTTGAAGTCCCAGCAATCAGGAGGCTGAGACTTGAGGATTGTGAGTTCAGGGCCAGCCTGGGCTACATAGCAAGACCCTGTCTCAAAATGAAACAATCAAAACACAGTATGAATTATAAAGAGTGCAATTAGTGAAAGCAAAGAGATAATGATTTTTTTTGGACATACTTAATCTGACATACTTTTGGGTTTTGGGCCATCTGTTTTTATCTATTATATACTTGTCTTTTTTCAAGTCTTTTAATTAATTAAATCAGACCATTTACCTGGTCCATATTGTTGAAATACTTAACCTGGTACTCAGGAGAAAAGAGAGAAAGAGAACTTAAGAGTTGAAACTCTGGCTTGGGTGAGATTAAAGGCAAAAGCTTGAAAAGAGTCGTTTCAGAAGTTGCCAGAAGAACTAATGTAGGTGAAGGCAAGAGGAAGCTGAGATGTAAAGCCAAGTGTTATGGGACACATCTATAATCCTAGCTACTCAGGAGATGGAAGCAGGAGGAGTGCAAATTCGAGGTCTGCCTGCACAAAGGGGCTGAACGCATTACTCAAGTGGTAGAGTGCTTTCCTAGCATATACAAAGCCCTTGGGTTCAATCCAAAGTACTGAGGGTGGGGGGGAAGCAAAGATGTCGTGGTAGAGATACCTGCAGAACTAAAAAGCACAGTGACAGGAGGGTATTACATTCATGTATTCATAAAGGACAAGCCCTTCAAAATCAATGTGGGTGATACTATATTGAAGGATCCCCCAAAAATAGTAATCTTACTTGATCTAGTCATATTATTATTGAGTATTGATTTGAGACATTTCAGTGGTTGCAAAACCTAAACACAATTAGATGCAACCCAGTATCTATATATAATAAAAACCACTAATATTCTAACTATAGGAGATACCATAGTGAATTGTGAGGCAACACCAAATGGATTATATAAAAACATGAAAAATAGATTTAATGAAAGAAAGACACATACAAATGGTACATAGCTTTTACTAGATTTTTAAAATACTTGTGGCCCCACTGATGTACAAAATGTAGATTTAAGACAACAGAATACCATATTTCTTTATCAGGCATTGGATTAATAAATTTTCCATGTTGCAGGGTCTGAACAGACATAATGTTCATATGTAGCAGAGGCAGTGCAAATTGGCTTAGCTCTCTTAGAGATTTATAAATGGGATTTGATTAGCAATTCCCTTTCTGGGAATATATACTATAGAAGGGAGAAAATTGTTGAAAAGCCTGAATAAAGTGGTACTGGCTATGACACTAAGTGTGTGCTAAAACTGCTAGCTCTTAGTTAGGGCAAAGAACAAGGTTGAAAGTTGCAGTGAGAGCTCAGAACAAGAGGAGGTAAGGAAGAAAGTGATGAAGGAATGTGAGACTTCAGCATCCTCCCAATTCTACAGCAGAGTCAAAGTTAAGTGAACAGAAATGTCTAAAGCCTTGAAGAAGTGTAGTTATAGAAGCCACGCTTTTGAGGAAGGTGGTGTGCATGTTTCATCTCACAGGTGAAAGCTTGTTGAGAGAAACAGTTCCCTGTGAAGGGCAGTAAAGAAGTAAAGCAGAAAGATCTATGGTTAAGTGAAATAAATAGGCCCCACATCCTAGTGTAGTCTCAGTCTATTATTGTCATTATGATGCTTGGAAAATTGTATGTAGCTTGATTTTGGAAATCATAAACACCAGAGTTTGAGGATAAATTTGAGGGATGAGACTATCTAGATTGAAACTCATCACAAAATTGGAAATGACAATAAATGATAGCTGATGCTTCAAGTTACTTACAGGTTTTACTAAATCTATTAAGAAACTTAAAGAACCTGTTTCTAGAAAGGTCTGAAAGTAGAATATTGAGTTTATTGGTCTCATTTTCCTTCTCTATTTAGGAATATTAGAGAATATTAGGGAATTAACAACACATAAGTATTGTTGTCTTTTTCTTTCTAGCTGCTGCTTTATGGTTTATTTTTCTTCCTTTTTCTTTTTTGCGCCTGCAGGCACAGAACAGCCAGGTCGACCTGGTAGTCATGGATATGTTCGTTCCCCTTCTCCCTCAGTAAGAGCTCAGGAGACCATGTTGCAGCAAAGACCCAGTGTTTTCCAGGGAACCAATGGAACCAGTGTAATCACACCTTTGGATCCAACTGCTCAGCTACGAATCATGTCAGTTTCTTACACGTTTTTGCCAGAAAAAATACCAGTCTCTTGCATATACATGTTTGAATTTGTGACTGCAAATAGGTCAAGTATAGGCAAGATTTTCCATTTGCTAAACTTTTTTTCCTTCAGTTTGTTCCTGCATCTCCCCCCACATCCTTCCGGTAAATGTCCTTCCCTTCACAAAGCTGTGATTTTTTTTTTTTATTTACAGGCCACTGCCTGCTGGGGGCCCTTCAATAAGCCAAGGCCTGCCAGCCTCCCGTTACAACACTGCTGCGGATGCCCTGGCTGCTCTTGTGGATGCTGCAGCTTCTGCACCCCAGATGGATGTTTCCAAAACAAAAGAGAGTAAGCATGAAGCTGCCAGGTTAGAAGAAAATTTGAGAAGCAGGTCAGCAGCAGTTAGTGAACAGCAGCAGCTAGAGCAGAAAACCCTGGAGGTGGAGAAGAGATCTGTTCAGTGTCTGTACACTTCTTCAGCCTTTCCAAGTGGCAAGCCCCAGCCTCATGCCTCAGTAGTGTATTCTGAGGCTGGGAAAGATAAAGGGCCTCCTCCAAAATCCAGATATGAGGAAGAGCTAAGGACCAGAGGGAAGACTACCATTACTGCAGCTAACTTCATAGACGTGATCATCACCCGGCAAATTGCCTCGGACAAGGATGCGAGGGAACGTGGCTCTCAAGGTTCAGACTCTTCTAGTAGCTGTATGTATCTCAGCCTGAGTTTCACAGTGTGATTTCTGGGTAGAGAATGACTTTTTTCTTTAGGTAAAGCGCAACTGTATGGTATAGAAAACCCTAATGCTTGACAGTAAATGTAAGAAAAATTTTTGTGGGTAGTGTAAAAATGTATCTTCTACTGTTTTTTTGATTTAACTAAGCCAACAATTTATTTTTCCAGGAGAAAACTATACCTTTTATAAAATCTAGTTGGAAAGTAGCATTTGATAAAAGAGCAGAGCTCTTAATGTGGTTAGGCATCTAAAAGGTAATGGGTGCACCCATCAAGCTCTGTGCTACTAAGGTGTAATTTCTCAGGGATCACTTTTCAGGACATGGTTCATTATTTAGGCCAATCCCTCAGAAGCCTTTCCATCCTTTTTCTAAGGTACAGGTTTTTACAAATTATCTTTCTTTTTTTTTGGTTGGTATGGGATTTGAACTCAGGGCCTCATGCTTGCCAAGCAGGTGGAGTAGCACTTGAGCCACTCTTCCAATCAAAATACAGGTTTTTAAAAAAGAAAAAAAAACAAAAACAAAAAAAGATACAGGTTTTAAAAAGTGAGACTATTAATGGTGCTTGGTATTTATTTTGTAACTTTCTTGAAAACAACTTTGATCCTGTCTGGGTAGTTAGTTATTCTGATATCTGCCCAACAAGAAAGAATTTATATCTTCACTGAAATAATAGAAAAGTTACTGTTAAAAAATTTCTTCTTAATTACTGCCTACATTCTATAAGGAATTCCAAAAAACCCACAGGTATTTAAATAAGCAGCTATACTTGAAGTAATTTAATCATATACGCATCTTTCTTTTATCTCCACTAAAGAAACAATAGCATTGGGGATAATGAGAAAAAAAAAAAAAGATTTCTTACTTGCCAGAATGCAACATGCAGTACTTTTTATCTTCAAATATCCACTTGTTTAACTGTAACTTGTTTGGGTCCATATCTACCCTATTGCTGAAGTTTTTTAGACGGAAGGGGGCAGCTTACAAGGGCACTATAGAAGAAAGACTTTCTTTTAACCTGGTTTTAAGTAAATCCATGATACAGCTTTTTAACATGCAGAAAATTGCTAGCTGAGGAAGAGTGCTGTATGAAGAGGGTCTTGGGAGGTAGTCACCAGCCCACATTGGTGATGTGGAACAGGGTAGCAAGCAGGCTGCCTAGACACTGGATTAAATGCTTCTTTGCACTCTGTATCTTGATCTGCGAGTTTGCTTTTCAGCAGATCTGAAAATAGAAAGCCCTTGTTTTTTAACAAGTGTTCATGTTTCTGAGTGCAGTTATGTTTTTAATCACTGGGCAATGACCTGTATGAAGTCCACAGTACTACAGGTACTCAGTATAAGTGTTCAGTTTGATCTTGAGAGCCTCCCCCACCTTGGAGATGAAGCATATTGCCTTCACCTTGACCCAAGTCTTCAAGAGCAAGGTGAACACAACTCGGGATCAGACTTCCTAATGACAAAATACAGCTAGTTCATTAGCACTTTCAAGATGTTGGTTAATAAGTAGTGATAAGTAACTGTGGATACAGAAACTATAAGTTATTGTAACTGTACTTACAATACAGTGATTTATTTTACTTTCTTGATTATTTCCATCCCATTTATCAGGTTTCTCTTCTCCTAAACCCAGGTAACTGCAATTTCCATGGCCAGGTTGGGGTAGGCAAGGTGTTAATTACCAGAGGAATAGGTGGTAGCTGAGTGATAAAAGTTCATTCCTCTCTTCTGTATGTGTCCAGCCAAGGTCACATACCATTTTCTGAGACTTGATGCATCCTATAAATGCAAAGAATCCTTTGATGTCAGAAGATTTTTAAGTAGGAGGTTACATCTGCCTGTCTCTAGCTCTGAGGTCGTGCAGGACTATGAAAAGCTGCCTCTACCCCCTCTGCCTACCCCCTCAATTTTCATGGCTTTTCTGCATCTTAGAGGGGGCTTTTATGTTGGCATCCTCCAGAGTTGATGGGCATCCTTTCTGTGAATTTACTTCTCTACCATTTCCATTTATTTTCAAAACGTAACAATGGTGCTAAAAAATGATTTGGAGTAATTTTTGTCAGCAATATTTCAGTTAAAATCATTATACAATGCTTTGTAAACTATCGCTTTTAAAATTGTCATGTTAACGAAACAGCTTTATAGACTTAACTTTTTCTAAGAATATATTGTCCCACACAATTGGAATTACTAGAATCAATTAATTGTTGAGATGTGATCCCTCATTCGTTTATTAATCTCCTCTGATTGTTTCCCTGGCGCTCTTTTCCAGTTCTCGGGAAAATATTGCAAATCTGTTCTCTAGTCTGCCTTGTCTCATTGTTTATTAAAAGGTCTTAAGAGCCCAGGAAATTTGAGAAAATGCCACATACCCTACTGAGATTAGGAACACACAGGCACCTTTAATACAGTGTGTTGGGTTCAATAAATTTTGCCATTACCTTGGAATACCATTGGACATTTCTGAGAATTAAAAAAATGAAAATATGCAAAAAGGCTTGAAGAACTTGGACTTTAGAAACTTTCTGTGGATTCATTTTAAAATAAGTTTTGTTTTGTTTTTTTTTTTTAAAGTATCTTCTCACAGGTATGAAGCACCCAGTGATGCTATTGAGGTGATTAGTCCTGCCAGTTCACCTGCACCACCCCAGGATAAACTGCAGGCCTATCAGCCAGAGATTGTTAAAGCAAATCAAGCAGAAAGTATGTCTTTTTTAGCCACCACTTACATGTTTCCATATTTGCATTTTTCATTTGCTTCAATTATGTGTCTAGACCATGTTTGTTTTAGGGTAATCTGCTTTTGAAATATTTAAAATTCCACTAACAAAAGCAACTTTGATGCTGTTAATTACTTTTCAGTTTATAGCTTAATGATACAGAAAATACTTGATATTTTGTTTGCCCACTTCATTCTGTAGTCCTCAGGCTTGTAACATTGAATATTTTTTGCTTCACAATTAAGATTCATAAAATTCTGTATTTAGAGGTTCTTACCACATCCTTTTGTGGTACTCTTCTGAATTATGTGTGCTCTTTCTCTGGAATAAGACATCTACCTTTCTCCATTAGGCGATCCCAGTAGACAGTATGAAGGACCTCTGCATCACTATCGGCCCCAGCAGGAGTCGCCATCTCCGCAGCAACAGCAGCAGCCACCCCCACCTTCCTCCCAGGCAGAGGGGATGGGGCAGGTACCCAGGACCCATCGGCTAATCACACTTGCTGATCACATCTGTGTATGTTTTTCCTATGCCTGTTATTAGTTCTTCTTGTTTTGATCATGTACAAAGCAGATTTCATAAGAAGAAAATCACAATAAGCTATGCCACTTTGTTTTTTTTCCTCATTCCAGCAAATTATCACACAAGATTTTGCTAGAAATCAAGTTTCCTCGCAGACTCCCCAGCAGACTCCCACTTCTACATTCCAAAATTCACCAACTGCTTTGGCATCCACACCTGTGAGGAGTAAAACATCAAGTCGCTACAGCCCAGAATCCCAGTCTCAATCTGTTCTCCATCAGAGACCAGGTTCCAGAGTCTCTCCAGAAAATCTTGTGGACAAATCTCGGGGAAGGTATGGTCTTTATTGTAAACCATATGTAAATTTCATAGTAGCAAATCAATTTGAATATGTTTACAAGGTAGGGAATTCATTTCTCACACCAGAAATTCCTTTGCCTTTATTTGGAGAAATGTGTAAATTGGGGGTTTTCCTTCTATTAGTCTTGGTCTGTCCAATGTCTAGGCATTTGATACTGTTTATTAATGTATGCAAAAGTTGGTTTTATTTATTATTTTATTGGTTATCATGAGGTAGTTTAATACAGTTTAGGGATGTTTGAGTACTACTTCAAAATCAACTCTTAAACCAGGTGGTGCTCCTGTAACCCCAGCTACTTGGGAAGCAAAGGCAGGAGGATGCCCAATTTTGAGTCCAGCCTAGGCAACATAGTGAGACCCTTAAGAGGGCTAAGGATATAGCTCAGTGGTATGGTTCTTGCTTAGTATGTGCAAGACCCTGGGTTCAATACCCACTTCCCCCATCTCAGTGTTTACCTTACTCAGCACTTGCTTGCTTTTTAAATTTTTTTCCTTTCTTTTTTCTTCTCAGGGAAAAAAGTACTTGCTAAGCAAGTACTCTACCGTTTGAGCCATGCTTACAGCCTCATATTCAGTGGCTTCTATTGGCTCTAGAGTAATACATGTTTAGGAGGGTAACATTAAATAAAGTGAGGCCAATAAGAGGCATCAGGGAAGAAACATTTTATGTGGTAAAATAAAATGTTCTTTACTGCCTGGTAAAGAACATATTTTTTTACCCAATGTTCTATCTGGATTTTTTTTTAAGGGAGATAGGGTTTCTGTTTCTTATAGTAGACTAAACATCAGTACATGTGAAATGATAGTTAAATAGCACAAAGGGAATTAATTCATAAGAATTCTGAGAACAAGAATGAGATAGCAACAGCAAATTCTGGCAAATTCCTGGAAGATACACAGAGTATTTATGAATCAGATAGCAGAAGCCGTTGCTCAGAGTATGAGAAGAAATTGATAGCAGAAATGGTTCTTCAGTCTGCCTACCAACCCCTCAAAGTAAGCAAAGAACAGAAGGAAATAGAATAATGTATTTAAGAGTGTGATGTTCTTTTTAAAAACGCTTTATTGCAGAAGTTTTAAATACAGAAGTAGAACAGTATAATACACCTCCATGTATCCATCACCGAGCTTTGATAACCATCAGCAAACTGCCAACTTTGTTTCATTTTTATTTATGCTTGCCCTACCCCAATACTGGATTATTTTGAAGCAAATCTTGGATATAATGATTTCAAGAAGTTGGGTGGTCTTTTTTTTTTTTTTTTTCCAAGCCTTACTATAAAAGTATATTAAATGACATAGCATGGTATTGGTGAAAGAATAGGCAAAGAGACCAATGGAACAGAGGAAAGGTAGAGATGTAACTGATGTAAGTAAACAAGTAGGATTAAATTGAAAGATGATAGGCTTTTCAACAAATGGTGCTGGAACAATTCAGTGTTCTTATGTCCCCCCAACACACACACACACACACACACACACACACACAAATACACACACACACACACACACACACACACACAAAAATCCAGACACAGGTTTTATTTTACTGTTGATAGTTATAAAACAAAATGGGATATAGACCATAATATAAAATGCAGAACAATAAAACTTCTAGGAAAAAACCTCGGTGACTTTAGAATGGGATAAGTTTTTAGAAGTAATACCAAAAGCATAATTCATGAAAGCAGAAAGCTGAAATTTTGAAATTAAACACTCTGCAAATCTCAGTACTGCCCAAAACAGACAAGACACTGAGCTCTATGAAAGGCATTTGGACTTTGACAGAACATACACGCAAACAAGTATCTGATAAAGGACTTGTATCCAAAAAGTTCTCTTGGCAGTTCAGTAATAAGGAAACAAGCAGTCCAACTGAAAATGTACATTTTACCAAATTTTTTATTTTTGTTTTATCTTTAAGAAGCTGGGCTGGCAGAATGGTTCAGACAATGAATGCCTGCCTACCAAGTGTGAGACCATGAGTTCAAACACAGTGCCACCAAAAAAAAAAGAATTGCTAAAAGAAGCTGGATGATCTTAAGGATAAGATGAAAACACGTTTACTCTCTTTTAGCTGAAAAAGAAAATAAATGCAGTTATCAAAAGCAGAAAGCTTTTAAGAATTGGCTGTGTCGGAGTGGGAAAGGAAATACCAAATAATGTGTATATATAGTTATGCTTAACTGTAATAGTAACAAGTGCAGATGTTGAAACGGTGGGCTCTTAGTTTGATAATCTCTTAAGTAAAAAAAAAAATATTTTTAAGTCTACACCATGAATTTATCTCACATTATCCTTACCAGGATAAACATTAAATGGCAGAGAGCCTTTCAGTCTTAAAATAGTGTATGTATCTAGAGCCTACATCAGCTCACAGTTCCAGTTTAGTACTCATCCTTAACTTAATTGAGAAAGATCTGGTAAGCTGTGACTAAGAATAAGCAGTGAGAGCCCTGAGTGCTCGCCTGGACTCACTGGCCAAAGGGTAGGCTGCAGCCTAACGTTGAAGGACATGCAATGAGCTGCTCCCTGCTGATGTGACTCCTGGGTCTATGCAGAAGGTGCCTGGAATAGACTGTTCTTGATAAGTAGGTGTATAGCAAAAAAAAATTGGCAGCTTTGCTCCTCCTCCTGAAGGAAATCCTGAGTTGAGTTCGTCTCCAGCAAGCTCTTTGCTAGCATCAGAAGACAACCTAATCTTGTGCTTGTTACACCAGCAGGCCTGGAAAATCTCCCGAGAGGAGTCACATCCCTGCAGAACCCTACGAGCCCATCTCCCCACCCCAGGTTCCGGTTGTGCACGAGAAGCAGGACAGCATGCTGCTGCTGTCACAAAGGGGTGTGGAGCCTGCAGAGCAGAGGTGAGGAGGACACCTCCCTCACTGCAGCTTCTAGTCTGGGGCTGACTCAGTGCCTAAAGTTTTCAATTTTATGCCAGTAACTTTTTTCCCTTTTTGGCTTCTATGTCAGAATGGGACTCTCAAAGGATCGTTTAGGTTTGCTTTCTCAGTGAGCTATTGCGACTAGTTTTTACAAAAGTATCGTGAAGTCTAAATATATTAGAGAAAACTTGTTCATTATTACTCTTGAACATAAGTCCGTCTAGATTATTTCTGAAAACTTTTTTATCACCCAACATTTGAGTGCTTATTGTGTGGACTATACATAGACCAGACCATCTTACATATTTTCTGATCTCTAACCCTGACTCCAGCTATCTGAATGATTACATGAGTTGGATTTAGTCCCTTCTAGTCACTCTCCATACCCTCATCAGGGTAGTTTGTATAAACCTCACAGTAAGTCAAGCACTAATCCACTAGCATAGCATGTGAGCTCGCAAGACCAGGTTTATGCAGCTTCAATTCCTGCTGCTTTACCTTTACACTGCTCCTTTCCCTAACTCAAGCTGTTTTCTTAGTGCATAACACCATCCCCAAGACTGAGAGGCAAATACATGATTTTCCTCTGTGGTCAGACAGATAGAAAAAGGGAATAGTTTGGTTTTAAACCAAGGTCCCACTCCAGGCTGTTGGTGTATTTCTTAGCATGTGCTGTTGTTTATATTCATAGATAATGAGATAGATGTTGGTACCTTCAATAAAATGAGTTAGGAAATTTATTTTTGGGGGAAGAGAATGAGGTTAAATTTCATTACACATTTACATGTTTGCATGACCTCAGTTTTCTATCACCTTCATTGTCTTTCTGGGCAGGTAGCAAGTATTCTTATGTTTGAATGGTGAATAAATTCATATGACAGATTGTTATCATTTCTGGGGCTCTAGCTATACCTTTGGGGGCCCTCTTAGGAAAACTATTTATTAAAAATGTGTTAGTATAGGAAGCTACCAGTGAAATATAAAATCCTTTGCATTAAACTTACCTGTCTTGAAATGACTGTAACAGTCAGTTTATTTCAGCACTACAGCTATTCTGTTTATGCTGAACTGTAAATTTCTTAGGTATAAGCTCTTGCTATTCTATAGGCAAGTGTGCTATTACAACTTTAGTATGTTTAAAAATAATTCTGTGAGTACCATAGTTCCCAGTTCATGTAATAATTATAGTTTATGTTGTTAAGCACAGAGCATCATGGTAAGCTGTTTTGAGTTTTCCCATTCATTTCTTAAGAATCCATGCTCTAGATTATCTCCATTTTAATCCTAATTTTAAAATTTCATTTTTGAGAGGTATAGCACTTGACTATGTCCTTAGGAGTGATGCACTAACTTTCTGTGGTCGCATTGTTTCTTAGGGTTATAACCACAAACACAGGATGGGGAGGCAGTAGTTTTCCAAGTATGCTGTGGCTATTATCATCAATAGAACTGTTCGCAGGGTTAGCAGTACAAGATTATAATAGACTGAACTGTGTTCCTAACAGGAATGATTCTCGCTCACCAGGGAGTATAAGCTACTTGCCTTCATTCTTCACCAAGCTTGAAAACACATCACCCATGGTGAAATCAAAGAAGCAAGAGATTTTTCGTAAGTTGAACTCCTCTGGTGGAGGTGACTCTGATATGGGTAAGTGGGATTTCTTTCACAAACTCCAAATAAAGCATACGTTAACAATGTTATCTCCAGTGTTGCCTCTCCTGTACTCCTTGAGTTTTCAGGCTTTTACAGGGCCTCTGTCCAACACATCTGAACCTGAAATGTCCACCTGTTCATGAAAACTTACCTAGAAAGTAGGAACTTGCTCCTTTCTGAAGCCTTCCATTTTCTCTGGGAACTAATGCTGGGTCTAGGGCACTTTTTTCTGTGGTGGGGCTGGACTAGGCTGGCTGTGATTTTGGTTTTGTTGTGTTTTTTTTAACCTACTGATCTTTATCTATTTGGGCCATCTGTACATTGACATCTCTTCAGATATTTGAAGACAAGTCCTTCATGAGTCTCATCCCTCCGTAAACATCCACCCCCCACCGTTTCACCAGCTATTCCTCATGTCCTTGTTTTCATACCCTACTAACTCAGTTGCTATCCACCAAAAAGCATTTTATTTAGCTTAGCTTTTCAATAGGTTCTGAGTTATAAGTAGTGATATGATGTGTCCTAAATTTGGCATTATTACTGCAGCCTAACATTGTCTCAGCATTTTTGCTGGTAATCCCAACACTTGTTATAGTGTGCTAAGTATGAATGCAGATGTCAAGATCTCTTCATGGCCACTCTGAAACCATACCTCTCCCCGATTCTGTTTGGGAATCACTAGTTTCAGGTTTAGGACAAGGTAATTTGTGATTGCTCCATTCCACCTACATTTTCTGTCTGGATCTCATTTAAGTCATTCAGCATTTATATGCATCTATGATAAACTTGGCCATCTGAAAAATGTAAATAATGGTAACAAGAGGTAATTAGCACTTATGTGCTAGGCACTATCCTAGTATTGTAAATATTCTATTCATTTAATCCTCCCAATAACCCTATACACGACATATAATTATCTCCATTTTGTAGGTGAGGAAACTGAAACTCAGAGAGGCTTAATAACTGACGCAGGTTATGTAACTAGTAAGTAATGGGCTTTGGCTCAAACCCAGGCCTTCCAACTCAAGTCTGTGCTTCCAGTGATGTCTGACTGACTGCTAACAGTTCTTTGCTCACAGCATTCTTACGGATTATTGATAAATATCCAATCAAGGTGTGTGGCAGAACCTTTCCTTGGGCTGATGTGCATGCGTTCATCAGAACTCTGTTGTACTGTTTACTCAGCATGCTGCCTTTACTTGTCCATCAGTTACATCCAGTGATAGAGAACCAAGACAGACTTCCATGTGCTTTGTTTCTGTCTCTTGACCCTGTCAAAAGAAAGGAAATTGTGGGTTTGAACTGTGAACTGCCAGCTAGACACATGGCTGGATCTCTGCCACTTTATGATTAGTGGTTGTCTGAGCCCAGTATCACTTAGTGCGGTGAACTTATCCTAGCTCTTAATTAATTACTAAGTTTTTCTAAGTGTCAAAGGTAAATATTTTAGAATGCCTACTACTAGAAATGCTATCAGGCTCACAGATACTCTTCCTTTAAAATAAGTATTATTATACTTTTCTACTTCTAATTTCAACTTCTATTTCTGTTTTTTCAGTGTCACCAGCATAAACATGGTGCCCTTATTTTCAAATTCTCTGAGCCGGGAGACATACGAGCTCAGAGCAGCCAGTTGTGTGTGGGGAAGACTCATCCTCTCTAGTCTTTGCCTTTCCCTTGTGACAGAAATTCTTGACTGGCAACTGCCATATATGAGTTGAAGCAAGCTACTTTTTCTCTTCTGACCCCGTTTTTTACATTGTCCTTGGTAGCAGCTCTCACTGTTTCAACAATCATTTATTAGAATATTATGTTGACAGATGTTTTTAAATATATGATAAAAGTATATTCGTGTCTTAAGGCAGACACTAACAATTTCTTTAGATAGAGTCTAAGTTTTTTTTCTTTTTTGCTAGGACTGGGGTTTGTTTCTTTTGTTGTTGTTGTTTTAATTGTAAGAGTGCTGGTTGTAGTAAGGGGCATTTGGCTTATGGGACTTACGGTCACCATTCAGTCCTTACTGGGAAACAACTAAGAAATCAAAGCCACCAAAAGAGCTTTGCTTCAACTCAGTGTTTTGGGGTTTTTTTGTTTGGTTGGTTTTGGCGGTAATGGGGTTTGAACTCAGGGCCTCATATTTGCTAGGCAGGCACTTTACCACTTGGGCCACTCCTCCAACCTTCCAACCTTCCATCCCTCCATTCAGTTCTTCCACCAAAACCAGCAATAAAACCTTAACACTTTACAGCTATATTTGATCTCTTTGAAGCTTCTGTCATAGCTAACCACCTTGCCAATTTACTTTTTCCAGAAATAATGTCTTTGCATCTGTCAGATGCTGTATTTTCCTGGTTTATTTTATTTTTGGGCAGTACTGGGGTTTTGAACTCCTTCAACTTTTTTTTGCTTGTTATTTTTGGATAGGGCCTTGCATTTTTGCCTAGACCAGCCTCAAACTGCAGTCCTCCTACCTATGCCACGCACATAGCAGGGTTTACAGATGTGAACCACCATACCTGACTTGTTTGAGATGGAGGTCTCACTTACGTTTTGCCCAGGCTGGTCTCCAACTGTGCTCTTCCTGATCTCTGCCTCCTAAATAGCTAGGATTATAGGAGTGCACCGTCTCTACTTCTTTGGCCATTTCTTTCTCCCTAGAAGCACAATTTTTTTTTTTTTTTGCTTTGCCCTTGTTTTCTGCAGGACTCTGAGCCCCTTTCTTATTATGCAGTAGAACCTGAGTCATTTCACCCACTCTGGGGTTTAAACTGTAAACTTCATCTTGAAAACCCCCAAATTTATACCTGGAATTATTTTATATCTTACTGGCTCCATAAATACCCATAACTGAATTCACATTCTACTTTTGCACACAGAAGTCCCTGCTCATTCCCTACTAGTTAACTCTATTCTACTCTCCACTCCTTGGCCACCTCTGTCATGTCTGCCCCCTGAACAGCTTTCACAAATACGCCTCTATTTCCCCTCCTTGATGAGCAGTGAGCACAGGGGTCCTCAAACTTCAACGTACACTATAGTAACTGGAGTGCTTATGAAGTGTGAATTACAGAAGCCCGGGAATGTAAAAAATTGGTATTTGTAACCAAAGTTACCCAGGTGACTCTGATTTGTATAGCCTCAGAGTACCTCACTGAACTGTAAACTCTGGAAGTAAAGGAAGGTATGTATTCTGAGTATATATCTAAGTATTATTATTGGTTGAACTACACAAAATTCTGTTTACCTGAGTACTTTTTGTCAACCAATAATGTTTTTTGATCAACTAATGGCTCAGTAAATATTTATCAAATGGATGCATGAGTTCTATTCCACAAACACTGTGGTAAGTACAAGGCTGTGTTATTTCAGGTTTAGTTTATTCACTGTGTTACCTGGCCCATAAATAAGAAGACTTGTCATTGTCTTCTCTAGTCATTGTTCTGGATCTTTCTAGAGATTTTTCCCATGTCAGCTTCACGGTGCCCCATCAGGAAAGTTACTTTTTAGGCACTCACCCTCTTTCATCTCACAGGTGTGATCTTTTCTTAGGTTAAGAGTCAGTCCTCCTGCATTCTCATCTCTGGAACATATGCTTAGCCACCCACTTATTTCCGGCATGATAGAGATGCCATTTATGTCTCCCACCTCCTTTCCTTTCTGATACAGAATGCTTTATAGGTGGTTCCCATGTTTCCTGCCATTTTCAAACTGTGCAAGTTACAGATTGTGCAGTTACCAGGAATGAAAATATCAACAGGCCAGGATCTCATCTTATCCAGGGAAGTGTCCTAAGAATGTAAGAAGAGTTTCCAGTTAGCCATTGTAGGAAGTTATTTCCAAGCTTCCACTGAGGTGCTTTCCCCTGAAACTAATCTCAGGCCACCTGAAAAACCCGTGAGTACTTTCGGGGGTCATCCTAAGAGTCCAAGGGTGGTTCTTTACTAAGAAGCCTGGACTCGTCTCTGTTCTGAGAATGACTTTTTCCTGCTTGCTTTTTCTAAAAATGGTGCAACCTTTCATCCCTCTTGTGAGTTCTATTATTCCTATTGTGCATTTCCTACCTCACCTGATTTATTGTCTCCCCAAAAGAAAATGCTGCATTCATTTCATCTCCACGTAATAGATGGAAAATAAAGGTTGAGATCATGGAAAATAAAAAGATTACTTTTATTGTAGGATTTTTTTGAGACTTTATGAGTATCTCATCTCAATTAACTTAAATGTTTATTTAAAAACAGCAGCTGCTCAACCAGGAACTGAGATCTTCAATCTGCCAGCAGTTACTACATCAGGTGAGATTCAAAATACATTTTTTACCAATATGAATTTGGTAGAGTAGTAGTCAACCCAGAAAATAAGTGCATTCCAAGGGACTGCTCTGGCATGCAGAAGTGAGTAATTTACTCAGAGAGTCAGTAGCACAGAATGGAATTCAGGTTCAGCAATATTGTTGAAAACATAAGTAAGCAAAGGGGCCAGGTACACTAGTTCACTTCTGCAATCCCAGCTATTCAGGAGGACTGCAGTTCAAGGACACCCCAGGCAAAAAGTGAGACCCTTTCCCCCCTCCCCCATCCTAACCAATAAGCTGTGTGTGCTGGTACTTGCCTATCACCTCAGTACACAGGAGGTGTAAATAATAGGATCACGGTCCAGGACTGCCTGAACAAAAACGCGAGACCTTATTCAAAAAAAGTAACTTAAAGCAAAAGGGGCTGAGGCCCTGAGTTCAAACCCCAGCACCCCTCTTCCCCAGAAGAATAATTTAACAGTTAATGAGTCACAGAAGTGGGGGTGGCTGATTCACCAGGGACACATATTTCCTGGCATCATTGGTGTATGAAGAGGGCTTCTGTATGGGCCCTCACTGGTCTCCCTTGCTACTTCTGGAGTACTGGGCGTATTCAGTGGGCTGGAGGGCCAGGCTGGATGTCGTCTGTTTATATGCACTGCACTCTCTTCCAGGCTCAGTTAGCTCTAGAAGCCATTCTTTTGCTGATCCTGCCAGTAATCTGGGTCTGGAAGACATTATCAGGAAGGCCCTCATGGGAAACTTTGATGACAAAGTTGAAGATCATGGAGTTGTCATACCCCAACCTGTGGGAGTATTGCCACAGGTAGTGCCTGGTAGTGCCAGCACCTCAGTTGTGACCAGCAGTGAGACACGGAGAGATGATGGGGACCCATCACCCCATTCGGGTAAAGCTTTCATTTTAGCATTCTTCTGCCTTTCCCAAGAAATAGCTGATTTGATTGCCAAGTTCCAGTACATTACTGAGAGATTTCACTTTGTATGGGCTCAGAGTCACCTCTGTAATTTTAAAACACTTTAGCCTGCCCAGACATTATAGTAGCATGAGCAAAAATGGGGAGGCTAAGGTATGGAGGATCATAAGTCAAGGCCAGCTGGGGGAAATAGTTTGCAAGACCCCATCTTCAAAATAGAGCAAAATGGACTGGAGGTGTGGCTCAAGCAGTAGAGCACAAGCTCTGCAAGGGTGAAGCCCTAGGTTCAAACCTTAGTCTCACCAAAAAAAATTCTGTTGTTTACCTTGTGACGTTTTTATTTGCATTTAGTTCTTACCTGTACATTGTAATGGCAATACAAGTATTTCATATTTTTAATAAGGTAACTTGTAATAAAAATGATAGGCTTTGTATAATTGTAAACTACAGGAAATAGGGAAAAAAGCAGCAAATAAACACAATCCTTGATATCACAGCACTCAGAAAGCTAGTGCTACTGTGAAGCATCATTCCAGACAGATAAAAGTTAGTGGGGTCGTCATTTACATAATTAAAGCCAATTAGCTTCATTGATACTAATCTTTGAAGAACTGACATATCTCATACTTTTTAAAAGACTACCTGAAGGTCATCAATATTTCAGTTTTAGTTTAGGCTTATTTTCCTATTAACTTTAAGCAAAAGATAGGAGAAATGATGTGACAACCTGAGCTCTGAGGTCTTAAATGTTTTGTTGTAGAGTCCATTCATAGGTGTCTTACTCCTGTGTACTAATTAGAGCCTGAGAGAAAAAAATAAGGCCACTAAGACTTTCCCCAGACATGCTGCTTTCTTTAAGGGATATGCTAACTTAAATTGGAGGGCAGAGTAGATGATTGAAGGAAAAATTTTAATTTTGTTAACTTACAATCTTTAGCACAGCTTCTATACTCTTAAGGCCAGTAAAGCAGCTTTGATGTTTCAAAACTTTCATTTCCTTGGACACCACATTTTTAAGGTTATGTAACAAAGATGTGCCACCCTCTTTTTTGTTTTGCTTGCTACAGGTGAAATTCTTTTTTTCTTTTAAATATTATTCTTAATTAACTAGGATATGGATTCTTTTATCAGAATGTTAAGTTGAGGACTTAAATACTGTGTATCAGTAATTAATAATTTAACTTGAATTTCATTTTTAGGAGGAGTTTGCAAACCAAAGTTGATCAACAAATCAAACAGCAGGAAATCTAAATCTCCTATTCCTGGGCAAGGCTACTTAGGAAGTGAACGGCCCTCTTCAGTCTCCTCTGTACATTCAGAAGGGGATTATCACAGGCAGACACCAGGGTGGGCCTGGGAAGATAGGCCTTCTTCAACAGGTGAGGAGCCTTGTTTAATCAATAGAAAATGAGATTTAAATCAATCTGTATTGATGTTTTGCTATTTCTTCTTTTAACTATATTCCCATTTCTGTACCATTAAGAGGTTCCACTTTTTAGAGCAGAAATTGAATACATATAACCTCAAAGGTAATAATGCGAGGTGTGATTACCATAAACAACGGGAAAGCTATGAAAAAAAGTCTCAGTCATTTCCCTTCCTTCTATGTTATGCTTGTTGGCAACCAGCATTTGCTGCTTGTAAAGCAAGTAAGTCTAAAACTTCACTTCTTTTTGAGGTACCTCCTAAGGTGACTTACCTTTAGCCTTTTATATAGACATTCTTTTTTTAAAAAATGACATCATCTGTCTTATCTATAAATTCACATCTAAAAACAATACTCAAGGATGTTCCTTAATGTTTTTCCACTGTCTTTTTTCAGTTTCTTAGTCATAACTATGACAATGACCATATCTAAAAAGGAAGACTCTCTACTTGAGACACTCTACCAGCCCCCCAGACTTTTTTTTTTTTCAATAAAACTAGGTATTTGCTATGGATTTCAGCATTTCAGACTTACATGCTGTCCTTTTCCTTAAGCATTTAATGCACACATAGATCATTCTGAAACATGCCCTCTTCAACACATAAAATTTTCATATATACCACCAGTATTTACCTCATAAAATGTGAAGTTGTCTGTTTGTTTAAAAAACAGCCTATGCCACTATTGCTGCTTCTTAATTATCTTTTAGGGAAGGAATTTTTATTATGTGTGAGATTACTTATTTGATGAAATGGTACCATTTGTGGTTTTCGTCTCTTAATTTGTAGAAGGCGTTGTAGAGAAAATGCTTCCCACTTCTAAATCTACCTAGTGAGATTCTGTAGATAACACATATCTTGCTGCCCCTCAGCCTTTTTGCGATTCCTGGGTATTTGTCCCCTTCTGAGAATTAATTTCTCTTGAGAGTCAAAGTTCTTGGTATAACCAGTCTCTCAATTACAGCTTCATACTCAAGTTCCACTTGGATTCTGATACGTCCACCCCTGGGCTTAGCAATTTGCTCATATTATTTTTTCTTTTTAGACTCTCAAGCCCCCCATTTTAGAATTATTCCGTCGTAAAAGGTTGGATTGGATGCAAAAGCAAGTATGCTCATGACACTTTTTTTTTTTTTTTTTTTGGTCAGGCTCCACTCAGTTTCCTTATAACCCCCTAACCATGCGGATGCTCAGCAGTACACCACCAACCCCAATTGCATGTGCTCCATCTGCTGTGAACCAAGCGACTCCTCACCAACAGAACCGGATTTGGGAGCGGGAGCCTGCTCCACTCCTTTCTGCCCAGTATGAGACACTGTCTGATAGCGATGACTAAACTGCACAGAGAAGGGAGCAGGAGCTCTATTTTATTTTTAATTGCAGGTCAAAAACCTGCCCTCCTATACTTGTGCCCGGAGACTTCTCAGGAGAGCCAGGGCCTCGGATGATGAAGAAATGATGGAAATTCATTTGGGAAGCCAAATGGGAAAAAAAACAAACTGTTTGATACAGGCAATTCAGTGAATAATAATAGTTGAGGGTTGAAATGTAGAGTTTTTAAAAAGTGGACGATTCCTGTTCTTACATCTGTTTGTAAAGAAAAGCATAATGTCTAAATGTTTAAATCACCCTTCTGTAAATAGATGACCTTTTTGCAGTGTATCCCCTTGCTGTAGTTATCTGCTGTACTTACGTTCAAATCAGCGCATCAATGTTGGGGGTAATTTTTAAAAATCTTTTTGTCTATCATCTTTTTAACCCTAGCCTTCTAAACAACCTCATACAGCCCAATTACAAAATATTGGCTGTCACGGGCATTGTACTTTTATCTGATTTTTGTTCCTTTAAATTTAGCTTCCCAGTGATGTTTAAAATCTTGTGAAATGTTTAGATTTTTAACACAGACCCTGTCATAAAATCTGGACATTAGGGTCAAAAGTTAGGAGCAACAAAATTCTGCCATATTGTGAATTTCCAGTGCAGGCTTTAATTTTTTTTTTTAAGTAGCACTGAAAAGATATTACTGCATGGGTATGTTACAGTTCAGTTTTTAAAGTTTTAAAGGCTTATTTGAGGCATACCTCACTGTGTTATGCACACTGGTAATTTAACCATGCCCCTAAGTATTCCTTTTCTTCTGCATTTGATGCAGCCCAACAAAGCTTTTGTTTTGAAATAAATTTGACTACCCTGTCCATAGCTATAGTAGATTTGTGATTTAAGGCTTTTATCTCAGGACTCAAAGGAAAAACTTACATACATATAATGATCTGTGTAGTTGTCTCAGTCTTTTAGACTTGCCTTGTGCTACATCCTGAACAAACCTCATGGTAACACAACAGTCCTTTTTGCTTCCTTAAGACAAGAGTTTATTGATGAATGTTATTTTAAGGATTCTCAAGGTGCAAATAGTTTAGAAGACTGAATTGTAAATATGGTACTGAAGGGTCAGGGCTTTATCCTTCATTAAGAATTGCTTGTTAAATTTTTCCATACAACCTAATAACAGCATTTAAGTGTGTGCATTATGGGAGGATGCTTAAGGGTTTGGGAAGAATGGCACCGATACCTGGAAAGGGGAGGAAAAGAGGTCTCTCAGGATAATGAATATTAGCACTTTACAGCCTTTCAGGTAGAGCTAAACTTTTAAACAAAAGTACACAAACCTTCTATGAAAACAGCTCTAAGATTAACCACTCTTGACTGAGACACAACTCCCTCCCCTCACACCTGGAGCCCTGGTGTTTAATCCTTGTTACTGCACAGACTCTGTACTTTGCACATACAATTCTGTAAGTGACAAAGACAAGCCATAGCCTGTTTGGAGCCAAAGCCTTCTCCCATCACTTTTCCACTCTTGAACACATGAGGTCCTCAACATAAACTGTAGATCAAACTTAGTGGTCACAATTCTATGACTTGGAAGGTTGGTACCTTTACATGAATGAAAAAGTGACTAAAAGTTGTAACTGTTTTCTGCTGAAGGTTTTTCAGGGTACTGGCAATATTCTAGAGAACTTCTTAACAGTAATGTATATTGCCATCTGACCCAAAAAGAGATCATTAGAATATTAAGCAATTCTAAGTTAGGTTAGTTTCTGAGAACAACTCCAGTCAGAGCCTAACATGTTATTCTTGCAGTACCACTTGAAGATCCCAGGGTTGGCTGCTGCTACTAACCACTCACTTCCTCACCACTGAACATGTGTGCTTTACTACCATTCCCTGAAGAAGAGATTAAAAAGCTATATCATTTCTTAGTTCAAAACAGTGAAGTCAGAATTCTCATATGGCTTACCTAAGGAGCAAACCTGCTGAGAGGGATAGATGTGCACCTTACCAGGGCCAGCACAGCAGAGAGTGGGTGATGACTCGCTGAAGTTAGCTGTAGAACAAGGCATAGTGTTCTTTGCAGGTCAAGATTCTGTGTTTTGACTACATCCTTAATGCATAATTTTTTAGCATCCAGAACTAAATTAAGGTCTTCCAATACTGTTCATAAGAAGTATTCTGACAGCCAATTTTCCAGCGCATGTTAACTGTTGGAAATTTCATAATGCTTTAATTTTGGTATGCTGAGGGACTATTCTGAATACACTCATGCCCTGAAAACACCAGTGACATAATTCAGTTCAAAACTTTACACTATTTTAAACAATTCACATTTAAATTTTTCAGTAAAGGAGATCAGTTTTTCTATTTCCTACATTGTTTTAAAGCAGTGCAAATGAACTTTAATGAGAATGCCCCACATGAAGAGACTACCTTTTCTGAAAACTAATGGGACCATAAGCTGAATCACTATGGAGGATTAAGAATTCTTAAATAAAACCTAGAGTGAAAAAATTTTCAGTAACCCTTGCACTTGTGAAAGGTAAAAAGTCTCAAAACAGAAGGTGAGTGCTTGGCATTAATTTTTTTTTTTAAATCAAAACTGGATTGCACTGAAAACCTCCTCTCTCACAGGCAGTCTTACTGGAAATAGCTGGGTGGTAAATAATAGATGAGCTTAGAGAGAAAGTGGGAAAAAAATTCACATCTGCAAAATACGAAATTCTAGTTACAGTTTAAGACCTTGGGATTTCTAGGACTTTATTCTTCAGGTTATTTTTCTGTGAAAAACTCAGATTACTGAAATACATACAATATAGTTTATATAGTCTCTAGTTTATTATGTGAAGATTCCTTGAATACTTACACATGAACCAAAAATACCAGTTTATTGGTCCCACTCATACCCAGTCCCCCACAGGCGTGTCACATCAGTATTCCCTCAGGGAATCCCTTCAAAAACTCTAGGCACATGGCTATCGGTAAGGCTGCTGAGGTGTCCTGTATTTACATACTTGGAGGCAGTGTGACACAGCTTTCAACACAGCAGTCTCCTCATTTTAAGTCATCCCACTGAGACACCTTCTCCCACAAATCTTACCACCTGAAGATGAAGACACTAAAGTCACAAAGTCAGGACTAACTAGGATCCAGGTCAGTAGTTCACTCTACCAGCAGCACACATTAGTGTTACTAGTTTTTAAATCTACACTTGTAGGGCCCTATTGTGGGTCAGAAGGTCTGGGGTACAATTCAGGTATATCTTACATCTCATTAAGAGGGGCTCAGATAACTCAGCTGTGTGATTTTCATAGCAAAGGAAGTTGAGTGCTCAGCACTAATAAGAGGTTTACATCATTCTTTCCCCTGCTGTCACTTGTAATAGTTAACATATCATCAGACACAGTTCACTTTTATTTACAATCAGATGAATACTAAACTTTCAGGTGCCTATTCTCTATTTCAGAAGTTCATGCTGGCTGCTGGTGGCCAACTTAGGTATCCCTTTTCCTCCTTTAATGTATTAAACCCCACACTGTGTTTCATGAAATAGAGTATAAGAGAGAGAACTCACCAAAATTCCCCTGTGCCATGACACATGTAGCTCTGGTCTGCCAGATATTGACAAAATAAAAGAAGAGAGGGCAGCAAATCAGTAGACCAAAATCTTACAGAAGAGATGCCCGGCATAATGACCACACCCATACCACAAGGGAAAACTGGCCCATCTCAATCTATAATTATACTCAGACGAGCATGGACAGTCCCTAACCACATTAAAATGGGAAGCATCAGTCCTTAAAGTCATAATCAGTAGAGGGGAAGAGGTGTATCTCCTTGAAAAATAAAAGTGGCAGTGTATACAACTTGTCCTTTACCAAGGCTAAGTTGAAGAAACCTGAATATCAATGACAAAGGATTTAAACCATTGATTTGGGTGCCAGAAACTGGATTAACAGCTATTCCTTTGGGTTACTCCCTACAACAAAATAAATTTAGAGCTTGATAAAATTAAGTCAAAGGTCTACTTTTTCTTGACAGCTCAGCCAATTCTTCCCTGATGTGCTGTACAGAAACCTCATCTTTTTTCAGCTCTGCTTGCTTCAGTGCTTCCTGGTAGATCTCTTTTGCTTGTGTATATCGTTCTAAAATAACCCAGAGAAAAGGGAGAAGAAAACATGTGTTTTCAAAGTGACTCTGAAGAGAAAGCACTAAGAAGGATACAGATCTAATTTACTATGTGCTTAATGAGTTATAGGAGGGTTCCACCTCATTTCATCCCTCTCTAATGACCTGGCTTAGAGAAGCTAGAACTTGGCTTAAGTGCAAAACTCCAAGACACTGAGTGCTGTGACCTTTTCTGGGTACTCCGGGGTCCTCATTTGATTGGCCAAGGATTTCACAACGGTGCTCCTTGTAATAAGAGACCTTTCACCCCAGGTTTTAAAATTACAGGTGAAGCCCTAAGCAGTATGGCACAGTGTGTTAACACTCAAATACCTGTGAAACTGATAATCTCTATCATTACCAGCTTCACCAACACACTGAGAAATTAATTGTGAACACACTTAGGGATCTACAAAGCACTGCAGAAAACAAGGTACTATCATTGCAAAGTATTCTCTGACTTCATATGGTTCAACAGACTAGTGTAGAAATACGGAAGTTATGTGAATTGAGTACTTCAGCCTAACATACATGCTGCTTCTGCCCGTATTTAACCAGCCTTTTAACTTAGGGGTGTGTTTATTATCTCTTGCCCTCTCTAAACACCATTTCACAAATTTATAAATGCTGTGACATCCCTTCCAAAAGCAAGCCGGTCAAGTCCACTGCTACCCACCTCTGTGTATCAGAATCGCAGCTAGATTACTGAGCACCATGTGCAGCTCGGGATGATTTATCTCTCTTGCCAGATCTGATGCCCTCTGCATATAAATGTAGGCTTCATCAAAGTGGCCCTGTGCATCCAACGTAGTAGCCAGGTCACTCATTAGCACAATGGTCTACAGATAAAAGAAACAGCTTTTTCTTTACAGATATGCCAATGTGGAATGTTAATCTGGAGTTTGTTAAACTGCAAACATACACAAGATTTCATCTTTCCTAGCCTTCCACAAGAGGTCACTATACTAGTTCAACCCTATGGCAAACAATATAAACCCAGAGACAGCCATACGAGAAGCACCAAGTAAAGCAACAGCAAAAGCTACAGTGTGATCCCACTGAAAGTTCAGCAATTTTGAGGAGACCATCTCCTATGGCTTGACTGCCTTTGCAGCCTTACTGTATAACGTTCCTGCTGGAGCCTCATCGAAAAAAGAGTACAGGATCTGCTTAGGGAAGATTCCTATAAAGGGTTTTAAGATTCTGACACTAAGAGATAAGCTTCAATACCTTGTTCCCCACTGAGTCTGTTTTAAGCCCTGATTCTAGTACTTGGGATATGAATGCCAGGCTTGCCTTCTTACTATTTATTCCTCAATGACACTTCATAAAGGTACTCTGTAGTAAGTCCCAAATCTCCTTCCCAAACATTCAACGTTCAGTCCAGTTAAAATTTCTCATGTTGGGTGTTTCAAACATTCATAGACAAAGCAATCCACTCCTTCAAAGAATTTACTTTGAAGTAAAGCAACACAGATGGTTTCAGTTCAGTTCAGAAAGCTGTAATAGTGGTGGCTTAAAAGTGTTGGGTTTTTTGTTTTTTTTAAATAAAGTCTCCTTCACTTCCCCCTTAATTGTGGAGGAAAGGATACACATGTATTAATTTATTTTTTATAAGATTCTAATGGAGCTTCTGCAGACTCCACTCTGAAACACCAAGCTGAATACTCTGAAACCATGGAAACACAGGGTGTCTGGTTAAAACTGCCTTGAAGAAAGGCCTGTCTACTGTGCAAACTGTGACTCAAAAAGTTCTGGGCAGACCCAGTGACTGATCAGAATCTTGTATCTTCCTTGAGATAAGTAGTTGGGGGTCAGGGGACTGAGGGTAAGAAAGTGAGTGAAGTGAGGGTACAAACACTCCACACAGCTCCACAAGCTAGGAACATCTGCTGACTCTGTTGCCAATGAGTGTAACACTTCACACACAACATTTCTGAAGACTGTTTTATGTTTTCCTTCTTTACCTGTGGGTGTCTTTCTCCTTGTATTTCTTGAGAAATCTGCAGGGCCCTTTCATACATCCTTTGTGCCTGGGATGACTGCTTGGAGAACAGCAGGTAGCGTGCACAGGCATCTAAGCACATGCCCAGAAGGAGGTGTGTGTTGGCTTTCTCTTCAACTAAGAAGGAAATAAAGAGCATTGTAGAGATATGACAAGTACGTTATAGAAGGTGAGGCAGAGTTAACCAAACTACCTCATCATTTTGATTACCAAGACCCACAAAGATTTTAACAGTATGGAACCCACTGAATGCTTTAAGTCACTTAGATACACTCTTATCCTTGCAGTGCAAGGAGACCTTTTAGGTGAATTAACATTCAATTAAATGACATGCCAAACTGGCTGCAATCATGGAACTTTCCCCCACATTTTAAGCAGATTAAGAATCTATAGATCAATTTAAATGTGGAATATTTTAAATTTGAAACTGGTAATATTCAGTAGAAAGAGATAAAGATGAACCCAAAGTAAAATGATTAATAACAAAATGTCTAGGTCCATGAAAAGTCTTTAAGGTATATTTAAAAAAAAAAAAAAGACCAATGAAATTGTAAGAAACCAAAGAACACTGAAAATTCTGAAATGGCTGAAATGGAAAGTTTTCAAATAATAATAAAGGCTGATATGATACAGCACCTTTCAACACATTACAGAATCAATCACACAATATCTGAAAAGCACCATGTTTATGACACCTAATGCCACACAACTAGAGAATACTGTTTTAGAATACAGTAACCAATATCAACATGCACAAGGAAAGACTGCTGTGAACTGACCGAAATAATGAAGGAAAGGTAAGGAGCAAGATTAAATGGAGGCTCTGCAAACAACTCAGCAGCAAGTAAACACTTCATAAGGACTAGAAATAGATAGGCTCAGGTAATTTTATGTAGCAAAACCATGACACCCCTCTGAAGATGACCAGCAAAACTACCATTTCCTTCCATAGCTTCATGGTTTTCAAGAAAATTTACAAATTCTTTGAATTTACAGAATTTAAAGAATAACCCTAGGACCAAATCAAATTAGAAGTGGTTTTAAAGACTGCCTTACAAATTTACTTCCAAAGAAATAAAATTTTTGTAAGTAAAATTTATGGATAACTATAAACCATATTTTAAAAAACCAAGACCACATCTAAATACCACACGTAAAGATAGTTTCTCTACTAAAACAGTATCACCTGGCACAGCACTCTTTGTAAAAAGCCAAACAAAAACAAATTCAAGTGGCAGTTCGATATTAACAATATCATGAGATAAATGAATATACAATGAAGGCAGTAAAAAATGAAAATGATATAAATCTCTAGGCCAAAGTACAAACAAGTCCTTGCAAATCTGTAACAAATTTGAGGAGATTTAGAATATAGCACAGATGCCAAATTCACATTCTGAGAACATGATAGGGTCTCAAGAACTACGTGCCCGTGCTGGTTTTGAACTGTGATTCTCCTGATCTCTGTCTCCCAAGTAGCTAGGATTACAGGCCACTAGCACCTGGTTGTTGTTCTGTTTTTTTGAGACAGGGTCTCACTATATAGCTCAGGCTAGCCTCAAACTCCCTTTGTAGCCCAGTCTAGCATTGACCTCACTTTTACTCCAAATATAAACAAGTGATAATCTTGAATATACTAAGGACATCAGAAAGCAGCATGTATTCCAGGAATCCAAGAATGGTTCAGTATACACAGTGCATCAGCATACGGAATTCCTTTACACAATACAAACCAAAAAGGAATCTGGTAAAGTACTGTAACCATTATATATGTACACATTTATAAAAACAGGAATACAGATGCCCCATTAGTAAGAGTTCTATAGTTTAGGAAAACCTGAGCACAGACTTCTAAAAACACACACACACACACACACGATTTTTTAATGGAGAAGGAAAGGAGGATCTAACCTACAGTTTTTAGTTCCTATAACATGACATATTCAGGAATCCATCTGCTTCAAAATACTAGAAATGTTAGATAAAAAATACCAAGCATCTTTTTACATGCATGGTGAGCTCCCAAAGACCAGAAAATAGCAGTGAAAATTAGCTAAAACCAGAAGTGGAAAGCATGTAAGCTGATACAGCAAAAGCCCTGTTTGTGTTGGGCATGTGGGGTGGCCTGAGTGTCTCTGTGCTCCAAGAATCTATGCCATGAAATGAATAACCAGCTCTGAAATCCCTGCAGAAAACATATTCCCTGTATACATATTCCCTCATAAACATCTATACAACACTATCGTCTCTGAACATATTGCCAGCATACTAGAGAATATTTATTATGCGCCTTTCTTCCATTTAGAAATGTAGCTCCCAAATGCAGTGGTTCTATTTATCTATAACTGCTGCTCAGTACCTAGTGGAGCAGCCAGCATGTAAAAGGCTCTCAGTATTTTCTCAATGAATGGTTCAATGCATGAACAAACAGAATAAAAAAACATGGGTACGGAACTGAATATGTAAAAAGATATAATGACTGAAAATTAATTGTAATTACAGAATTAAACATTAGCATCCCATGAATCTATGAAAACTCAATAAAGAGAAGTGATTAGAAATTAGAAATAGATGGACTAACAAACAGGCCTGGGCAGTTGCTGTGGAGACGGGGTTGTCCTTATTTCATGCCATATTAAAAACTAAACTCTATAGACTCATGAATGAGGCAAGACAGCCAGGCGCCAGTGGCTCAAGCCTGTAATCCTAGCTGCTCAGAAGGCAGAGATTAGGAGAATGGAAGTTTGAAGCCAGCCTGGGCAAACAGTTGTCAAGACCTTATCTCAACAATACCCAACACAAAACAGGGCTGGAGGAGTGGCTCAAGTGGTAGAGCACCTACCTACCAAGCATGAGGCCCTGAGTTCAAACCCCAGTACCATCAAAAAACAAAAAAGTGAGTCAAGAAGAGCTAGAGACAAGTCTAGAGCCAGAACTCAAGATGGTCAGGCTGCCTACAGTATCAAGGAAAGCCAGTGATTATTGTAAGAACCAATTGAGATCAACACGTTATTTTCATGTGGTCACTGCTGGCCTCTTTTGATGGAGGGACTTTTGAACTTGAACTATTCCTCCCAAAAGAACACCCAATGACAGCACATAAAATACATTTCATAATCAAAATGTACTATCCTAATATAGAGAGAGACACACCAGGAAGATGTTTATAGACATCTGAAAGATTAAGTGTCCCCAGCACTGCAGATCCATACAGTTATATGGATCCAAGGGTTTAAAACTGATGACTCATTAATAAAATGATGTAGCAGAGAACATCAGTGAAGCCTAAGCCCTAGAGAGGAGACCATGGACTAGGCTACATGCTATAAATAATATTTAAATCAACCCAATCATCAAGTGTGCATCACTTCTGTTCTGTCAAGATTCCTTCCCTTTTTTGCTTGTATTTAATGGGCAGTCTCAGAAACATCACAGACACCTTTAGCCCTTCGGTGATTAGTGAATCTTTGTTTTTTTCCTGATTTACTGTTACAAAGCATGCACAAAAGGTAAAAGTATCACCTGGATTGTTGTGACACACTGTTTTTACTAATTTTCCCCATCATGGTTTAAGTACAGATCTGTGAATGAAGGTAGTCAGGGTTGGCTGCATGGATATGAGTGTTTTTATTTTAGGGGGTAGGAGGTTAGTTTTAATTTTAAGGGCTCCTTTCTTCCTGTTCTTTCTTATTTTTTTGACAGGGTCAATCTGTGGCTCAGATTGGTCTCAATTCCTGGCCCTCCCACCTTAGCCCTCCCAATGCTTAGGACTACAGGCTCATGCCATCACACCCAACTCCTTTCTCCCCTTTTCATGATGACATAATGGCACTGGTTAAAACCAGTCAACCAGTTGTTTAGCATAGGGTCTCACATTTATGCCCAGGCCACAGTCCTCCAATTTATGCTTCCTGCATAGCTGGGATGGCAGGCACACACCACCACACCCAAATTTCATTTACTGAGATGGGGGTCTAACTTTTTGCATGGGCTGCCCTTGAACTATGATCCTCCTGATCTCCACATCCCAAGTAGCTAGGATTACTGGTGCCTAAATCTTATGTTTCAATTTTTTTTTTTTGTAATTCTAAAAATAAACTCTAGGTCAATTAAATACTAAATATAAGAAAAGCCAAATAGTTAGAGAATATCTGTCTGGCTCTAGAAGAGTAGGAAATTTTTATCAAAACACAGCACAAACTATAAAGAAAAACTTCAAAAGGTTCTATTAACACCCAAAATTTTGTCTCTGTATGTCAAGTGCTCTAAAATGAAAAGACAAGCCATAAAAAGAGCTACGTAACCCACAAAAACATAAGATACTCAAATATATAAAGAACTCTTACAAGTCATTAGTCATAATAAAATTTTGTCTAAACTTAGTGAGACCCTATCTCAAAAAATAAAAACAAAGGGATCGCGGATCACTCGGGACATGGCTTGGGTGGTAGAGCACCTGCCCAGCAAGCACAAGGCCCTGCATTTAATTCCCAGTACCACAAATAAAATAACAACAGACAAATCAGTAAGGGTATAAAACTTGTGAACAACACTTACTATAAACTAACTCTGACATATATAGAACATTCCACCCAACAAGAGAACACACCATTTGTCTCAAATGCACATGCAATATTCTCTAGGATGAATCATGTAGGAGGCCATAAAACAAGTCTCAATAAATTTAAAAGGACAGAAATCCTACAATGCACATTGTCTAACCACAATGGAATGAAATACAGTAACAGAAGGAAATTTGAGGAATTCAAAAATATTTAGAAAACAATCAACTAATTAATTCTGTCAATTATCCAAAGGGCCAAAAAAAAAAAAATCACAAGAAAAATTAGAAAATAATGTGATGTATGAAAATGAAAAGACAACATGCCAAAATTTGTGATATACACATAAAGCTTACAAGGCCTACATTAGAAAAGAAGAAACATCTTGAAGCATCCTACATCAATAACCCAATTTTTCACCTAAGAAACTAAAAAAAAGAGCAAAATAAGCCCAACACAATAGGAATGACATAATAAAGATTACAGTGGAAATAAGTGAAGCAGAAAACAATACAGAACTGCTACAGTTACTTTCAACCACCAGGGGAGCATGAG